TGCCTGAACATGGTGAGAACAGTTGCCCGAATATGGCGCGAACAGTTACCCGAACATGGTGCGAACAGTTACCCGAACATGGTGCAAACAGTTGCCCGAACATAGTGAGAACAGTTGCCTGAACACGGCGAGAACAGTTGCCAGAATATAATCGAGCCCATGACCTGAGTTACCACGCTTCGCCTCGTTCTTTCGTTATGTTTTAAATTACTATTTGCGATCATTTGCTATCGTTTAATTAATTCACGCTGCTGTTGGATCTGTTCCATTGAGGGCCTGAGTAATGACATACGATGCAACGATGCAGCTAATCCCGAATTGAGACTATATTCCGGGATGGCGTTCGGTATGTCTGTATATCACTTCGTTTTCTTCAATTTATGTTATCACTCATTAATGTCAGAAAAGGCATGCCTCATAAATTAATATCCTCAATTCTTTATGGAGAAACAAATTTCTGGATGTAATCTCCTGATTAATCATCGTGAGAATATTGACGTTGATCTTGGTTGTAGCCGCCTTTTTAGCATTTTGATTTTCCATATTCATTGTAATTTGCAGCAAGATAATTAGCCTACAATATAGGCGCAGTTTATTTTACATGTTCCACAGCAGTCATTGCTGGACTGTAGTGGCTCGATTATATCTCGCACTGTCTTTACTTGTGAATGTCGCAATTAATTTTATTAAACCTTCAAACTCGTTGATCATAACTCTCTGTAACTGTATGTAACTTAATTATCTCGATCGCGATAGCTTATTTAGGATTTCATCAATTTCACTTTTAAGTAATTACAAAAATATTCAGTCATTAAATCTTGTCAATTCTTGAGCACGTGTAACACGCGTGTAATTTCTGAATAATTAAAATTCAGTAAGCGACGAAATTATTTTTATTTTTAAATCGTACAATCAAATATTTTGAACTCTTTTTAGACTGCGCCAGCGAGTAAACATCAGCCAAACACGCTTTAGCTTCATTTTCTGTCTACCGCCGTGGAATTAACAGCTAAGGAGTAAATAAGCTGCCACGTTCTTTAGAATTCAATTCTTATAATGTAGTTTAATATTTCGAAGGGTAACTGTCATAAGTGAATCACCATGTGTATTTTCTGTATTATTTTCTTCTTGTTATTTCATTGTGTTCATGTCATGTTCTTTCCAACGACCAATAACTCATGTAGGTGTTGGTCGGCGTCGTCATTCTTCAACCCCAATAAACTCACTGAGCTTCACCGTCTTTATTCCAACCTACATAATACATAATATTTCATCAACTAATTCGGGAAGAGGGGTGGCCGCTGTAAAATCTAACTCAAGATCTGAACAAGTATTAGAAAAACCACCTCCTCATACCTTACAAGAGATGTCGGTTTTACTCCGAGGAACTAAGCTTTTCGGTTCGTTTGACTTATCTGTTCATTATTTGGATTACTGATAATATAATTCATAGGTCTAAATTTCATTTATATATCGTGCATTTTCCTTGCACGTTTTTCTTATATAATTTGTAATCCGTTTTCTAGAAACCGTGCGTCATGGAATATTAAAATTTTATCCTGCCATAGCGGCGCGTCTCAGACTATATATGTGCCGTAACTAGTGCAGTGAAAGTTCTCAAACGACTAGCTTACAAAAAATCCTTTACACTAGTCATTATGTCATGTCAATAGAGCGCTGTGAAAAACTAAGCAAAATTAATTATATGACTAATTTAATTGGCTCTGGATTTGAGCCTTCAAAGTACGTCTCGAACAAAATACCATCATACAGCAGCATTACCGGAGATATGATAAAATCACATGAAATATAGATATTTTTTTAATGCATTCTCTTGAAAAAGGAACAAAATTCAGATTCACGATGCAAAAAAAAAACAATTCAATAAAACTGTTCAGTTAAAGCGAATTGAGACGTATGAAATTACCATGTTACCACTTCGTGCACGATAGCTGAAGCCCTCATCATTCAGGATGAGTCTCAAGCTATTAACTAACAAACCACTGTATTTGTTAGGACGTTGACATTATTTTCAAGGTAATTTTGAGTTTAATTTTCGAATTATAACCTTAATACCTAATTAATGTTTGCATCTGTCATTCCAAAATTTAGCGATGCCAAACCTCCGCTCTGCTTGACAATGAATAATGTTTGTTTGAAACTAAGTAAAATCATAATGAAATATCCATTGAAAACATCATGTTCGAATTGTAAATCCCATCATTTGTGTAGCTCACAGAGTATAGAAAAAAATTAGGAAAATTATTTATAAGATATACACTCTGATTTTCAACGAAACTTGTATTAAAGATCATAACAAATAATGCACTGATTGGCAAGTAATTATTAAAAATGAGGGTCTTGAGCAAGTAAACACAATCAAACTCTATTATTAGAATGTGGTTAATCTTTCAGGGAAATCTGAATGATTGAATACTAAATATAGTCGAATTTTTCTCCCAATCCCAAAATAGGACGGAAACTGCGGGTCTTCTCCTCAGTGATGACCTGCTGCGTAGCACACGAACTGCTTCACCAGCGTCAGGGTGTCCAGCGAGTTGAGTACGCGCTGTACGTTCTGCCCATAATGTATTATTTATATATTATTTAATAATAAACAAATAATATGTATTATTTACTGTATATATTATATTATAATAATATATTTACATATAATATATATTATTTATTTATATTTATGCTTTAATCCACACTATTTAATTCTTCCATGAGGAAGTCCATGAATCCATTCTTTTCACGTGAATGATTTGGGCGTCGACTTGTCATCAAGATACAGGTTACATAGAAAATATGAATAACAATAATACGATCCATAATTGCTACATTTAGGGCGTGTTTTATTTAAGTAATGGCAACAAAGCCTCAAATGTTACGTCAATATTTTGTCCAGTCTAAATCGTGTTCAACAGTCGAGAAAGTGAGACTTGATGGGAGAGACTCAATACGTTATTGGCTTGACTTTTATGGCCAAGCTTGAACACAACTGCAACGCAAGCCTTCAGTTTTTATTCTTTATTATATGCCTCCTCGATCAATACGTTATTGGCTTGACTTTAATGGTCAAGCTTGAACACAACTGCAACGCGAGCCTTCAGTTGATCACTCAACATGTAACTGGCTTGATTATATTGATTTGTTGCGAATACAGCCTCATTTCTCCGATGTATTGATTCATACTAAGTGTGAATTGTGTCCAAAAGAATTTTAGCCGATTCTTCAGTAGAATTCTCTTTCAGTTAAAACCCAGCGTACAATAAGTCTACAAGTGACCATCTCTAGTAGAATTACCGTTCATGTCTAGAAATTCTGAAATGGCACCGTTACTGAACAAACTTGTAAGAGAGAATTTAGCGCTGAACAAACAAACACAGAGTGGTACTCTAACGACAGTTGAATCGAACTTTTATGGTACTCAAATTTACCAAATTGTACGTGAACGTCACTCGAAACATTCCTCAAATTGTACTCTTATGACACTTTGATGGCACTCTAGTGGCACTCTAATTCAGCAAACTACCATACTTTACTGACCAGGCCTGGCCGAGAACTCAGCGAGTTGGGGGCGCAAGAGCTGCCTGTGGAGAGTGAGCACCGCGCGGTGCTTCACCAGCCCCAGCTGCGCCTCCGTCCACTGCCACGTCCGGAACACCGCGCCGGGGAACCACAGCACGCGGTGTCTGAGGTGCGACTTTGTTAGTGATATGTTTCAGATATATGCATATTCAATGCTATGCATATTTATTGCAACGCAATATGTTTAAATAATGTGGAATCCCCTTAAAAGGGGATGCGGCGTGGGAGCTTGAAATTCTGATATTGATATAAGGTAAGTTTCTCCATAGAGCCCCTGGTTTGGTTGGACAGTGCGTATGAAATAAGTTAAATTTAATTTCAGTGAGCTACGACGCACATTGGATTATCGAAGGCTTACACTGAGGAAATACCGAGGTGAGAGTAACCGATCCAAATTCCATCACTCAATGCGTTTTGTAACTTGATAATGAATGATTGATACAATCGAAACGTCATTAACGAAATAAAAATGTCCATCGGTATCCAGATTTTCGATTTATCAGTGCAAACGAAATATATTGTTCGATATATTGAACAAAATAATAAGAAAGTTATCAATATAACAAATTCTTTGGTCTTCAATGAAACCTGCTGAAAAAATACCCAAATGATTCAATGCTATTCTTTCAACTTTGCTCGTGTAGTTATTTAACCAGACCTGCCACAACCCGATGGACATTTGCTGAGTACGTCGTTGGTGCAAGGGATGAGTTTTTTTTAACTTAAGCACCCACATATGTACATATTTATAACCAAAGTTATGATTACATTCACCAATTTTAGTTTATTATGAAATTTGAATTTTGCTCCAGCCAGGAACCTGTCGCTGTAAAAATGGAAGTAGTCCGAGACCTTTTAGATTTCATTTCATTATGATAGATAATTATGATCATTTACGCTACTAAACATTTGTTGAATGCGTCACCGTTGGGAGAGGAGGCATAGACAAAATGAATTACTGCCACTCTACTTCGGAAAGAAATATAACTTAGCGTTAAATGTAAAAAATTAAATATTGAAAATCATTAGTTTATGAGGCGTGCATCACCTGTTGAAGACGTTGCTGTGGAGCATCTGAGTGGTGATGGAGAAAAACTCGCCGTCAAAATCGAGCGCCAAATGCTGCACCTGCGTCACCTGCTTCAGGTGGTTCACGCTCATGTTGTGCAGCTGGTGATTATAATTCAGATTAGTGCTTCTATTGAAGTCAATAGCGGTTTTGTGGACTCATCATATGACAATATAATATATGAAGCGACCTCACACAAGATTTTTCGTAAAGTCCTCTTCAATTCCCCATAAAAATTTCTTGATGGTCTCAAAAAATTGAGAGGATGCAGTTGGATAAAAATTACTAGGCAGTCATATCTACTTTATAGCTGAAAAAATTACTCTAGCTTGGTCTATTAAATTATAACAAGATGGAGGTGATAACTACTCACTTCTGCAATGTCCAGGACGTTCAGGGTGATGTTGGGCAGGTAGAGGGGATGATAACTACTCACTTCTGCAATGTCCAGGACGTTTAGGGTGATGTTGGGCAGGTAGAGGGGATGGTATCTACTCACTTCTGCAATGTCCAGGACGTTGAGGGTGATGTTGGGCAGGTAGAGGGGGTCTCCAATCATCCACTCAATTTGGTAGCTCACGAATCTCACAAGAGCGGCTACTTGTTCTTCAGGGGAAGGCAGCTCCTCCGGAGTCAATAAATGATCGTCGAACGTCAGTAAATTTCCTCCTGTGGATAACTCATCCTGGGATAATGAATGATCATTATGAGACTGTAAATGATCATTGTCATACATCACAGTATGTGGAGAAATAGGTTCTGAAGGTTCAAGGGAAGGCGGGAGTGAAGAGGAAGGTATTGAGGAAGAGTCTGCTGTGCCATTGGGGGGTAGGAAGTTCGTTAGGCCCCTACGAATCTGGTGGTTCGCGAAGGCCAGAATTGTGGGCTTCGTCTGAAAACCAAGGAAATAAATATGTGATGATGACGCATTTTTATTATTGGTTAGACGAGCGTAAAATGTAACTAAAAAATCATCATTACAAAAAATAAATTTCCTGTTTTGATTACAAATTAGAATCAAATAAATTATCTCACCTCCAATACCATGGTTCCAATACCATCATGATAACTTTAAATAAACGTATAAACAAGTAAATACCGACGCAAACGTTCTAAAGTTAGTCCCTGTAGATAAACATGACGTCCGTTTATATATTTGAATTGTCTATATATTTCTCTTTCAGCCTGGACGATATATGAGAATGTTAAATATTCGTTAATATACAATCATAGGAATTATAAATTAATTGGTAATTGAAATAGTCCTGACCAAGTGAAGCAGGAGGGCGAAGAGGTCGTCGAAGAAGAAATCCAGCAAACCAGCGTCGTCCAGCAACCCGTCCGTGCTGTACGAGAAGCTGCCGTGCGTCATGTTGGTCTGCACATGACATCCATGTTGTGTTCATGTTTTACAGCGATGTATAACTCATATGTAGTGTACTGCTGTGTAATGAGAGTTACCTTCCAACATGATGTGGTTATGTCGGCAGAGGCACGTCACGTAGGTCTGAGCCTGGAGCTTGTCTTTTTCAATGCTACATGTATAATTGAATTATAATATTATGATTATTTCTTGAGATAGTTCAAGAAAATGTTTACTTGCAGCTTTCTCATAGTATACGTTCACTACCTTGGCATATATCGTACTAAATATTGTTATTCATAATCCCTTACACTGTTATCATTCACTATAGTCCAAAATAATCTCCACATAATCGGTCGTAATCCCTCCCTAATCCCTCCCTAATCCTCCGTAATCCCTTAAATCCCCGCGGGTTACCTGATAGTCGTAGACGCAGAAGCAGCCATCGGGCAGCACGGCGATGCTGATGGTGGTGTCAGCGCTGATGTTGGTGAGGGTGAGGTTGAAGTGCCCCGTCGTAGTCCACCACAAGCCTGGTATCTCGTATACCCCCTCCACCACCAGCATAGGCAGGCTTAACTTCACGCTGCCCTGACCCAGAAATATAGAGTGAAACACAAGCACTAAGAATATGCAATGGCTTAAACAAGGTCCCAGAAGGATTACTAGAATTTGAAACAAGAACCAACACCAGGGGCACCGGCCATAAACTAAAGAAGCTGCGTTGTAACATATCCATGCGACAACATTTCTTCTCGGTTCGAGTCACCGACATGTGGAACAGCCTCCCTGATAGCATCGCTGACGCCCCGAGTATGAACGCCTTCAAGAACAGACTAGACGAAGCTATGCAGGAGCATATGTTCAGTCTTATGCCTAGCAAATTACGGTCCAGGCTTTAAGTCCAGCAGCTATCTCAATCAATCGTCAGTTATGGAAAGATCGGGTTTCAAAGGCCGGATCCCTTGTGAATCAAGTCACGAAAAATTCAAGAATTGGCAACAGGCCATGGGCCTATTTCTTCGGCGCCGACACTTCTATTCAATTCTATTCTAACTTAACATCAACTGCCAGTGTAATGCTTCCTTGCAGCAGGGCAAAATAAGTCCATAGTGATATTGCAGGTTCATACAGTTATACATGCATTCAACAACTGAATTTACGATAGGTGAAGGTTTACTCCATACCAGATGGGACAAACAGACAAATTTCCTGTTATATTATATCGGTTTCAGTGTTTACTAGACGTAGGCCTGTCGCTGATTCTTAACATTGCAGAACATCCACAGCAATTGTTGCTGGCTTGAGCTTGCTTTAAATTTCCTTTGTTTTAACCGCCCGGCCTCCTCGCCGATTCTGACCAGAAACTGGCGCACAGAGCTGGGATCGAACCCGCACCTCTCTGCTCCACTCCTGCATCCCAGCACACTGAATAAGGAGTAAACTCCTAGTTTACTTCCTAATTCCTCCCTCGCATTGCCCCATGGGGGGTGGACTGACCGTGAAGTTGTGGGCGAGGACGTGGAGGTCATGGAGGACGAGGTCATTGAGTCCACGGGCGCGGGTGTGCAGCAGGGTTACCGGCCCCACTTGGAGGGGAGTCATCAGCGGCAGCCAGGGGGGAAGGTCCAGGCCTCAAGCGGAAAATGGAAGGGAGGATAAAGTGAATAACATAGAGTTCGGAGAACGTAAAAGCAATTACCTTCTCCAAAGATATTTTAGGTAATTAAGGGTAAAATAATTGGAGAAGGTAAAAAATATTGCAGTAACGTAAATATTTTTAGTAATTAAGGGTAGACTAAATCCTACCAATAAATTGCTCATGCACTAGCCACATATGCCGCTCCGTACCGTCTTCTCGCCGCTGCTCAAAGCTTTAACTTCGCCACTCCAACTCTACAGAATCAACGACTCCACCACTCCACCCGGGCACTCCACATCCAGCCATGTCATATCGCTCCGTTATAGCGAACCATTCCACTACTTGTTATTCCACCAACAGCACATGCTCACTGAGCGCAGCACATGCTCACTGAGCGCAGTACATACTCACTGAGCGCAGAATATGCTCAAACAAGGCTTAAGATGGTCGTAAAATCGTTACTTCGTTATTTCCGGTGCCAATCATACATATTTACACTTGCACACACTCACGATCGTCCTTTAACCTCTATAGTCGCCGTATCAATTTATTATTTAGAAAATGTCCAAAGGAAACGCAAAATCATTCATTTTAACATTGATCGCAACTCCTACGTTGATAGTGAATTCAATTAATTTGCATTACCATCGCTCGGACATATTATAGGTTGGAATGATTTTTCTTTTGTACGATATCGCAGCCATTGTTGTTCAAGATTAAATAGTAGGCATTAATTGAAAAGTTTTAGTCGGTTTAACAAATTTTACGATTTCGCAGTTGGCAATCGTGAGGGGAGCATGTCGGTCAAAAAACTTTTTTATTTACAGACGGATCATTACGAAACTTGACAAACATATGTAAAATAGGAATCAATTACTTTTTCGTTCATGTAAATTTTTCGAAAAAATTACGAAAACGTGAAATTCACAAAAAACGGTAGAAAAGGGGGGTCCTATAAAACTCTATCTTCTCTTAGGATTTTTAAAGTGCAACATCGAGAAACATATTCGATGCGCAAAGACCGTATCTAAAGACCTTCCGTTTTTTTTCAAATAAAATTTTTTTCGTATTTCATTTATTTTATTTGTCAGATTTTTTTCAATTTTGACCCCTTCCCCTTCCATTTTCTTTAACATATAATCGAAACAAAAATTAAATCGAAAAATGACCCGAAAATCTCTAGAGATTTTTCTTACAAATTCAATGGTATATCTTTCAATGCTGTAGCTTGAAAATCATAGGAGGAGATAGACGTTTAAGATGGCGTATTTTGGAAATTTTAATTGGTCAGAGGAGCCAAATAAGTAAAATTTCTTGAAAAAAGAAGAATATGCCAAAATATTGCTTGGTATTGTAGCCCAAGATTTCCCATTGCAAAATCATTTCATTTAGGGTACAAGCTCGCGTCTTGAGACTTATTCTTAACATGAATAATATGGGCTACATATGTGACTTTTTTATTCTCCTATATATATAAAATATGCTCATTTTATATAAATTCAAAATGGCCTAACGCCAAAAACATTGCATGTACATCTGTAATATTTGCTTTCTTGAACGCGCATCGTTTGAGGCTTTTAAACGAGTGCAAATACTTTGCAATTAACGCAAATAATGATCAATATATACAATTTTTTGATACAAATTTGTAATTATTGTAACAAAATGGTCATTTTATATAGTTCAAAACAGCCTTATGCATACTCTACTGCATATACATCTATGGTTTTAGCTTTTTTGAACGCGTATTGTTTGTGGCTTTCAAACGAGTGCAAACATTTTGCAATTAACGCGAATAATGATCGGTAAACACAGATTCAATTCAAAGAAATATTTGTATATATTGTTAAAAAATGTTCCATTTATATATTTTTGAAATTTATTTACGCAAAAACTAGAGTACGCACATTCATGCGGTTTGCTGCGTTAGACGCGCTTTTTCAGCAGATACAAAAATGAACAGAGAAAACGGAGAAGCCAAATTTTTTCAATTTCCGAGCGACACGCTGGGAAATCGATAGAGGCTGAGGTCATTGTTATATATTTCTATACGGTTACAATTGTTTAAACGGTTTCTGTTAGCAATATTTTCGATGTCTTAGTATGTATTGTTTACGATTTCAGAGTTAACATTAGGTGCTATGTCGCAGTTAACATGTACACGCGGTGGAAGTTGATGATATTTTCACTGTCACAGTTTATATTATTTTCGATGTCGCAGCAACACCGCAAACATCACTCGTAAGGAAGCAGTCGACGCTTTAGAGTTTAGACGATGTTGCTTTTTTTTAATTTTCTAAATTACATGCGTGCTTCAATAATTCAGATTTACTCACTTGCAGCGATCAGAGATATCACCGCAAACGTGGCCCAGCAGTATGATCCCATGTTGACTTCCTGACGTCCGATTTTTTATTTTTTTTAGAAGTTTGAGAAATATTTATTTCACACAAGAAAATTGGATTGAATTGATATATTTTACTGTTGATCAGCAGAGAATGTTACACATACCTGGCGAGTTTCATCATTTACGAATAAAAAAGTGTTAAATTAAAGCTACACGAGTAGTTTTGGATAAAAATATTGGCAGTCTACGTCCGGCCTAGTGCCGGGAATTAACAATGAACTCGATTTTCATTAGAATTTGATTTCAAAATATTTTAGATTTATTGTTTTGTGACTTACTTAATTGACCAACCATCGCAACCTCTCGGAAGAATTTATTTATACTATTTAAAGTACTATATTGATATTACCTATCGATTATATAGTTGCAAGTGGTTTTTTAGGGCAATTTTGAGCCAGATTTATTAATAAGAAGAATTCCCAAAATTCTATTTTACATTTTCGGCAGAGCTCTCATGAATAATGTGAATTAATAGATTGAAACGTGTGATCTGGAAATTGAACTTTTCATGACGTTTTTCTTTGTTTATTTCAAATTAATTGAACATTTATCTGAATGAGGATTCATTAAGCTATTATTGAATTTTTAAATTAATATTTGGCGCTCTCCTCTCCAATGCACCATAAGGCAGTTGAAGCGTCTTTTAGAGTGAGACAGAACGAAGGAATACCACCACAGCCCAGCTTGTTTTATTCAGCCATAAAAATCTAGTAACATTTACCCGCTCACGTAACGCTAATATCGTTACCCGCTCATAACATTTACCCGCTAATGTCGTTACCCGCTTATAACATTTACCCGCTCATGTCATTAGCTTGGCTGTCAATCTGTCGTTTCGAATGCCCCGGACGGAGGCGATGTTAAAAGAAATATGAAAGATGATAATGAATCCGTATTTCTTTGCAATTATTTAACATATAATCAATGTAAATAATATATATCTCATTTCTAAATGTCATTAGTATTTCCATGAACAGCTCAGCCTCAAGTAAAAAAAGTCAAAGATATACCTCACCGAACACAGAAAATATAACATCTTGAATGCCTCGACATTATTACACCAAGGCAGTAATTGCTTGCGAATTGAACATAAAAGATAAGTTCCAAACTAAAGGCCGTCTAGTACCTCATAATTCCTACGGAAAACTGATGATTGAAATATCTACGTTGAAATAACTAAACCGTCGATGAACTTTTTAATTCAATCTCACAAAACACGCATGAAAAGTTCACTTCCAAACTGTGCACACATGAAAACCCGGTCGTACGACGAACTCCCCACTGACGCCTCGAACTCCCCATTGACGCCTCCCCATTGACGCCTCCCCACTGACGCCTCGAACTCCCCACTGACGCCTCGAACTCCCCACTGACGCCCATTCACTGAACGCCTCGCGGAGATTGACGTTGAGGAGGCAGCTACCTTGGGCACCAAACAACCGTCCTCTGTTTGACTCTTTACGTTTGAGTCGTTGTTTGATTCCGCGATTATATTCCTAGTAACTTGTGCTTGTGCACACCTAAACTATTTACTAAGTATAATTTCGCGTTTGCATATATCTGAGCAAATCAATGACACTACCGACATAGTGAGTCAAGATAAACTAAACTCGTAGACTTGAATAAACTTGTACATTAATTATTACGATTGCGTGACCTGAGCACCATTTCAGGGTTTCGTTTTCTAATTCCATTCATCTATAATCTAAGGTGGCCTTGTGGTTAAAGTTCAGAGTACAAGATTGGAGCAGAGAGGCGCGGGTTCGATCCCAGCTCTGTGCGCCAGTTTCTGGTCAGAATCGGCAAGGAGGCCGGGAGGTTATGCAAAGAAAATTTGAAGAAGAGAGTTGCGAGTTCAAGCCCACAAGCTGTGGATGTTCTGCAGTGTTAAGAATTGACGACAAGCCAACAGCCTAATAAATGATGAAATCGCTAAATAACCCTGTTGGCCGCATGAGCGTCAGGCCAGAAAGGCACTACGGATAACCTTGAAATCAAGACAAAAATCTATTAGTAACTTATGCGACGAGAAATTTTTATTGATAAGTGCATTATGCGATGAGATTTATGTAGAATTATTTTTATTGAATGCATCACGCGATGGGATTTATGTGAAATTAATATTATTGAGCGCATCGTGCGATGGGATTCAGGAGTTATTATTATTATCAAGCACATGGGATGAGATTTATAGGAAATTAATATTATTAAGCGCATCATGTGCTGTTTTCATGGGAAAATATTCTTATTATAGGTGCATCATGCAATAGTCGTTACGGCCGCTGCCGCGAGGCCAGCGGCTTCACCTACTTTCGGATATTAACAGCTAGTCGAGTGTAACCATGACTCGTCGGTGACGCTACGATGCCATTTACAATCTACAAGTGATGACTATGACTTCGCGACATTACTGTGCGGCCAACATCAACGCAATTAACGGTCGTGCTGGCCGTGATTCAATTTCGAGATAACACGAGAAGCTACCAGATTTGCAGCGATTAATGAGACGACAATCCGATTACAAAGTAACGTCAAGAGTACGGTCGGCTGCAGCTGCGGCAGCAGTACGGCCAAGAGCTGGCAGCAACGTTACTCAAGTGGAAACCATCACGGCAATTTCAAAGTACGACCTTCTACAAATTTACGGCTTTGCAAATCGTGAGAGTTCTTTCGAGGAGGCGAGGCTACAGTTACAGAACTACATCCGCGATAATACTACATGGACCAATACGACCGTCGTATTGTACGGCATCATCGGTCGTATTCGACCAATGATGCCTTCGTCAGCGATACGGGCACGGCATAGCAACCGTACTACTCCACGGGACTGCCCTACGGATCAACGTTTCCCGGTAAAATAGTAAAGTTCGAACAGCGATAACATACTTGTTGGTTTGAAGTATTTTATTCGAATCTTTGCTTACCAGTTTAGAGTGATGTTTCCATAGTGATTCCCTCGCTCTCAGCTATCTCCACACCCTTCTCCACTATCGCAATTATCTCCTCTCTCGTTAAAATCCCCACATCCTCAACCGTCATCTCATCTACTTTCCCCGCACGCTCAGCAGTCTCTTGCTGCTTCATCCTTTCCTCTTCCGTCTCAAAGTCCGCAAAATATTTCTGGCGGACAATTACCGTTCTCTCAGTCGTCACATTTATACCACGCAGGCGTCGGACAATCTTCGCATCCTAATCAGTCTCCAAGTCATCACGGTGTGCTACCACATTCTATTCCCAACCAGTGCCCTCATAAATACAATTCCTCACGGCCTCCTCCAGTTCCATATTCACGATCTCAAGGTGCCCCAAGTTCTCCTCTGCCTTTGAGTCACGATATTTCTAAAGCGACCAATGCCTTCTCCCCTAAGAAGCAAAATCTGGGTTACCACGGCGAGATGAACGTCACGTCATCGAACTTCCTGTAGAGTAGCCCGTACGTGGGCAGCAATCGACCGTTCAGCCTCAGCAGGATTAGTGGGAGCAGCTCGAGTGTGGGAAGTTAATCTGTCAGCGAATCCAACCCTGCAGTGAGCAGTTACTCGTTGCCGCCTGGGACAGCTGACGCCAGCATGGCGTGCGAGACAAACCAAAGGCCAGACAAAGTCTACCATCGCATTGGTTTAGGTCCGCAGGAACACCACCTTTGTGCAGGTTCTCAGATCATGGGCATGCAAAGGAAAATGCAATCGTATAGTGCAGTCATGCAAGACTTCAATCAATATCACGGCAGACCTGACATGAAGGCTTACAAAATGCAGCAGTACGGTGGCAGTGTGAGTCACGCAGGTGGCGGAGGCAGTTACCCTGGCAGCTACGCTTCCATATGTGCAACCCAATTGGTCCTTCGAGCGGTTCAAGTTTACCAGGCGGCGCCCCAGCAGCTTCTCCGGCAGTAACCACAACAACCCTGTGTATCCTGTGGGCTCGTTTGGCCTCACTCCTCCCTACCGCCCAGGACTTCACCACTCGCCCCTACCGCTTCACCCTTCCCAATGGTTATAAGACCGAGATATGTTTCTCCGTTTTTGGATCCCATACACTCGCTTTAATTGGCAATATTACCTCCTTTCGCCTAAGTACCTCAATGCATCTTCTCCCCATGCGATTTACCAAATAATTAAGAGTCTTTTGAGAAATTTTATCCCAGGAACAAAGGATAGCCATGCTCAGGTCACTCACAGATTGGAACAGGGCGCTCAGTTTGGTGAACATCCCTCGCTATGATGCCCCATAGGTTTGCAATGGGGTTGAGGTCAGGGCTAAGCGCTGGCAACGGCGACTGGGTAATATTCTGCTCGAGGAACCACTTGCTTGCTGACTTTGAAGTGTGAATCGAAACATTGTTTTGCTGGAAAACACATAATCCCTCATGTTCCTCATTGGCAAAAGGGAGAAGATGGTGAAATAGCGTGTGCTTGTATGCCTCGGAATCTTGTCTCCCACGTAAAATAGCTAGAGTTGATTTTCCCTTTCGGCTACACGCCCTCCAAACCATGACCGAATCAACACCAGATTGCTGTTTGGAAAAGAATTCAGGCTCAAGGTCCAGATGGTGCCAATGGTGCCAATAGCATTGCCATCCATCTGGACCATTTAGATTGAATTTTTTTTATTTATTGAAGATAAATCTTGTGCCATCCCTTCCCAAGAAGCTCATTTTTTCAGTAAATTTTATTCGTTTGATAATATACATTTGTTTAAGCATAGGGACATCTTTCTGCTTCCCGTACTTGAATTTCTTCGAGTCATGCAATATCTGACGGATGCGCCGTGCTGTCACATCAACTCCAGTGGCCAATTTTATAGAAGTAGAGGTAGCGCCTGTTTTAGAAGCCACTGAAAACAGTCACCTAAGATCACTGTCGGTTAATTTTGGGGTGGGTCCAGGGTGCTTTTTTCATCCGTAGACGTCCGGATTAGCAAAAATTGATGGTACAATGAGTTTTGAGCGTTTTCTTCCCATTGCGATGTCCCGTTTGCTTCTACTGCATTTAACAAAGGCAAAAGTAGTAGTAGTAGTAGTATGATGGTTTGCTAGCGCTTCAGCTATAGAGCTATTTCGCGCCGGAGGTCATAATTTAACATCGCCAGCAAGGCGGAAGGTCTCAATTATTCAAGATCTCAAGTTAATCATCACCCACAAGGGGCGGAAGGTCTTAGATGTCCAGCCCGCTGAAGCTGGCTCGAAAGAAGCAGCGTTAGCATCTCAAAGAGACGAAGTGACAAGGAGGGACAGGTGAAAAGCAACAGAAACGAAGACACTCGAACAAGAGGTCGCTTACACGGGACGTCGGCCGCCCGCACGACAGAGACAGAGAAGGAAAATATAAGGAATCCTACCTACATACATAAGAACTTAACCCCACAACTGAGACCTGCAGTCAGACACCGCGAGCTCAGCGGTGGGGCGCTCAGGAACAATCCCCCTAGGAGCGCGAAATCCCATAGGACTTCTAACGAGCACAGACACGCGTTAGAAGTCCCCCCTGAGGGGAACAAAGGCAAAAATCAGCGCCTTCTCGTTCTCTGTCTTTTTCCTTCTGGCATCTTTTTTACAGCGAAAAATATGAGTGAGGACACTGAACTACACTAGAAGTACACTAGTAAGTACCTAAATGGCGAAAATCAGAATATTATTTATGTTGCTTTACTTTTGAAAGTAAAAATATTACAGAAAGATACTAAACGGAAAAACCTATCGTGGTCATATAACCATTTCCATCTTGGTTTTTCTAATTTTCATAACTTCTTCTCATATATTTTGAGAAATTAATTTTTTTCGCATATCGTCGGAACCATTTTCAAGCGTAGATTAACCTCGTATAATTAGAATTCCGTATTTTTTATGCAAGAAAAAATATTCAGAGAAAACTGGTTGGTCGTATAGCTATTTCCGCCACTGTATAGCTCATGCGCCGCCCCTACCTCTCTGTGTACGACCTTTGTTCCTCTCGATACTTCATTTATCTTCTAGCTAATTGCGTGAATCAAAATCTATGAAAAGTTTCTTATCAGATTTTATTTTAGTAATTTGTATCTTGAAATTGAATTCCATATCCGCAGGTTGAAGCGCCTCAACAATCTCCTGCTTTAGAGGCGCAGTCAAAAATGGTTATAAATTTAACCGTCCGCTAACATGACATGATTTTAAAGCCAATATGTGTGTATTGATATTTATTTCCTTTATATACCATTGTGTTGCTGTAAGAATATTAGCAACACAAGATAGATATTTTAATTGAGAATCGAATGGTATATGTCTCATCGCTGTAGCTTCAGAACTCTAGGAGGAGATAGGTTTGCCGTGACAATAAGTTAACTTTTCAGGACAGCGCGGCAAAGTCCAGGGCGCATCGGAATAGCCACTCAATGTAGCAAGGTTACCAAACTAAGCGTTACTGAAGCTTAATGCCAGTCAAGGATGGTGGGAGCGACTGCTAGCACACCTTCTCGTGCGACAACAGGAGGGCAACTGAGCTGTAGCTTGCCAGAAACACTATTTATGTGCTCTCGGCGGCTAATTATCGCCCATCTTATTTGTTGAAGAACCCACCCCCCACCCTTTCGGTATCTCTAGTGAACGCATTATTCAACGTACAGAGATGGTTTTGGTACCGTTAAATGCGTCAGAAAAGCAGCTTTAATATGAGTATAAGAGCTGGAGAATGTCATAATTGGCCGCTTTGCGTCAGACGATCCCCTTTATTGTGCCCGGCTGAGTAATTTCCGCCTTAACTTTACTGAAGAGGCCCGGACACCACCCCGCCCCTTACAGGATCTGTAGTGAACGCATAAATCAACGTACAGATATGGTTTTGGTACCATTGGATGCGTCAGAATGTAAGATTTAAGATGAGTATAAAAACCGAAAGAGCCAAAAATCTTGCCCAGACGCTCCCCCTCAACGCATTTGGGCCAAAGCGCACAGCAAATCTTGGAAATGCCGAACATCTTTTTGATAATGTAAAGTTTTCTTCCGGCGCGACATGCTCTATATTCTGTCTTAATTTCTAGTCTTGTAATCTACACTATTCGTCTTACTAATTTTTCTTATCTCTTCGTAATCATGCACGCGATCGGAATTTGCGATTCCGCCGAGTGATGCCACCAAGAACGTCGCTGAAAAGACGTCGTCATGAGATCTTAATAATTAATGTTTTAATTAAACTTCAAAGACATGAGTAGACTAATCACAAGATGTTCACTTAACGGTCTTACGGCCGCTCGTATATCGAGCATCTAACGGTCGGCCGTCATCCAATTGTGATGGTCGCTAAGAAATAAATTGTCGTATATTAAGAATTATGGAGGAACGTCTTTAAAACAGAACTATTTAGTAGCATGCTTTTTATTGACCATTACCATACTGGAAGATATTTCAATGCTTGTTGGGGGTTTCAATTAATCATATCAATTTTTTCGGCATCTTTGCATAACATTAACTACGTAGCCACCGTTGGAACGACCCATATGAGGGCTCTCTGCACTGACCGTCTAATTACCTATTGGCCTTCGAGACACCACGGTACACAACCATCAACCTTTACGTTCTTGGTATTCATATAACTGTCGGGATCGCATACGCGGGATGGTGCCCATGGATTCACGATACTCGCAGCAAGCCATGTCAGCGTCAGGTTACGGTACAACATATAGTACGTAGTACAACATACTATGTGGTCCAATAGGTTATTAGCATAATTATTAAAGCAACATAATTTATCCGAGCAATCACTTCACCCATGACGAACATAGCAGCCTCGACGACCACAAAAGGCAACACATTACTCAAGTCGTGTCTCTGGCTGTGGACCATAGTCCGCGTCAGAGGCCCGGCATAATGAATTAAAAATATTTCGCAATAAGAAATTAATCAAAACGGAGGCGAAAATCAAGAATTTAGGTAGAACTCAGAATATCCGAGGCAGCGCTTGTGGAACTCTAGACAGCGCCTTGGCACTCTAGGCATCGCCTTGGCACTATAGGCAGCGCCTTGGCACTCTAGGGAGCGCCTGTGGCTCTAGGCAGCACCTGTGGCACTCTAGGCAGCGCCTGTGGCACCCGCCACACTCGATGCCGTGTCCCTCAAGATAAGGTTCAGGCTCGCAGGATCAGGTCGCAGGATGCTCAACGCCGCCTTAGCGACTTTGAGCTCCTCTGACCCCGGCTCGACTGAGAGGTCAAAGTTCATGATGAGGTCAGCGAGTGCGAGTCGTGCCTCCATGCGAGCGAAGCGTTCCGCTGAAAATTGCGAGATGAACGACAACTTTATTTGAATGTATCAGAAACTTGAGACAAAATATAGGATAAAATAATTCAAAAGCATTTCGACAAGCAGGCCGACAGGCTTATCCATACTCGGGTTAACAAGAAATTACCCAATCAAAAATGAGGTACAAGAATGAGCCAGCATCGTGAATCGTATGATTTTGCAATGACAGAAATAGTGATTTTTTAGCATTTGGCCGCAGAAAAAAAAGCTTTTTAACGATCATCAAATAATGTTGAAAACAACGTGTTGACGTGTGCGATTTGACGCTAAACTTTATGTTAAGCTCGATCTTCATAATAAGGATAAAATAGTAGATTTTTTACGATGAATGGATGTTGAAAAATAGAAAAAATGAAGCCATTGTAAATAATGCGGAGTTGCACACGCGTCCGGCATGTCGAGGTCATGGAACTGACTCGTTACTCCAAGAACTAATATAGGGTATAACATAGAGAAAATAAGATTTAGAAAATATCTTAGATGATTTAGATGTAGAACGAAGCGCGGTCAACACTACGGCCAATAGTGGACTCACCGATGCACATACGGGGGCCAATACCGAAGGGAAGGTACACCCCCGACGGGATGTCGTTCTTAGTTGCGGGCATGAAGCGGTCGGGTAGGAAGGTGTCGGGGTCGGGGAAGTAGCGTTCGTCGCGGTGCAGCGAGTACACGGGCACGGTCACGAACATGCCCTGCGGGATCTTCACGTCCGAGTCGGGCACGCTGTCGCAAAAGCATTACTTATATCTTAGGTTAAAATTAATAATTATTCAAATTCGTACATTTAAAGAAAATACTGCATATTAACAAAATACCACATTTATTCAGCCGCAATATGTTTTAAATGTTTTACTCTGAATGACACGTCGGGATACAAATAAACTTTGTATTTAGATAACGTTGATGAAATAATAAAATATGCGTCTCAATCAAGGTCGTTGATTTCAGAGCAATGAGTACCATCTCTGGAAGATGGAATCTCCTAAGACGAGTGTGAGCTGCTTTGTCGGTTCCGAATGGAATGAAAGTCGGGCTGTAGAAATGTTTTCAGTATTTAAATATAAACTGAAAAACCACATCGTATATTCCTCCTAGAATGAGATCCTGCACATGTTTATTCCTTCATACGATAATGCAGTCATTGTACACGACTGTAAATAAGCACCAAGAACAAAAAGTTACGCAGATATGGCGACACTCGAGTTAAACTTTCAAGAAGTCCGGCACAACGCATCAATTAAAATGTGTCTAGAGCATCGCAGGATAAACTGTTTAATTGATATTGATACTGCGGAAGATAATGAGCTGCTTACGGGAATACAATAAACTCAAAAGATCTACCATTTCTGAAGCTACATACGATTCTTCTACAACGATATTAGGACACGTCGCGAAGGTAGAAATTTCTCAACCCTATTGACGCTGGCAAGCGACAGTCCCTCAGGATGGTGAGACAACTTATAAGTAAATAAGTAGTAGAATGTTTTCCTGACGTTTCAGCTATCAAGCTATTTCGCACCGGAGGTCAAAAAATAGAGTCGCCAGCAAGGTGGAAGGTCTCAATTATTAAAGTCTCAAATTAATCATCACCCACATATGGGGCGGATGGTCTCCGATGTCCAGCCCGCTGAAGCTGGCCGGAGAGAAGCAGCGTTAGCATCTCAATAGACGAAGTGACGAGGAGGGACAGGTGAGAAGCAACAGAAACAAAGACACTCGAACAAGAGGTCGCTTACACGGGACGTCGGCTGCCCGCACGAGAGAGACAGAGAAGGGAAATGTAATGAATACTACCTATTTAATAACTTAACCCCAAAACTGAGATCCACTGTCAAGACACCGCGGGCTCAGCGGTGGGGCGCTCAGGAACGATCCCCCCATAGTAGTGTGAAATCCAATAGAACTTCTGACGAGCACAGACACGCATCAGAAGGCCCCTGAGGGGAGACAACGTATAGGAACTGATACGCCCTTTTGCCAACAAAAACTGGGTCATGATGACCCATACAAGGTTAAGAAGTGCATCGCTACTTACTCATTTCTCTTACTTACTCAAGAACAAAGTCTTACTCATTTCTCAGCGCGTATACTGTCGCCGACGCGAGTGTGCGGCGTGTTTTAGCGGAAATTGGATGCATTTGGTTTGACCGCTCACCAGCTAAACTACAATCACAAACGCATGTCATCTGCCTGTAGATGCCACGAACGTAACTACCACCCGTTTTTATGGAAGACACACGAACACGAGACATAACACGATTTGTAACTCCGCTGAGGTCGAGATTATGAAATTTTTAACGTCCAAATCTTTGGAACAACATGATAACCGGACTGGCTCCCAACTTTGAAAGTGAGACTTCCAAAATAGTGACATATTCCAGCGAAAGGAGGGGGAGACTGTGCAGGATTCCCCCATCCAATAACCGAGCCGAGACCAGAGTACAGACTCTTCGTGGGACTGTTTAATGCCTTGCCAGAAGTGCTGAAAGGAGGGGAGTTCACCCTTGCAACATTCACGAGACGACTGGACAAGTGTTTGAGAAAGATCCCGGATTGTCCAGTTATGGGAAACTACCCTGAGCAAGTGACAAGCAACAGTATCTTAACTCAGCTGGCCCAAAGAAGGACAGATAGACGTTACACGTTAAACGTTACATCCGGGACCCAATGGCGGGGCGACTTGCCTATCGACGATTTAGAGACGGAGGACGACATAGTCCATGGTCAAGCATTAGCTTGACTTTGGACTACGAAGTCCTAAACTCACCATAAGGCCTTAGGTCACAGCACCGCAAACGAAGAACCACAAACACATCACCAATCACCTGTAGTCCTTGGTGCATTTCCTCTCCAGCAGGTGCGCCGGAGGATACATGCGCAGCGTTTCTGTGGAACACCAACACACAATGAGTTGCGTTTGTATAAGAAAAGTCGTGTTGCAAACTTCAATGAATTCAAAATTATTTACATCATGCTGTATTAAATTGAATACATTTCACCTGAAACACTAGACGCACACACGAGGATTCCAGTTCCACACCAACCTTCCTTGTATGCACCGTCACCACCATGGCCGTGTGTAAAAACCATCTAATTGATTTCGTCGCTCAACCAAGGAAACCCGGATCTATGCGTATTCTATCGCCTTACTTCTCATTCATTGCGGTCGAGAACCTGGAGCGGCTCCTGCACTCCGCATATACAGCCATAATCGCTACATGGCCATAAATCGAGCCATTCAACACCCATCACTATTTTTCAACATTCGCACCAGGGCCCGATCAATCAAAACTCGCTAGGGTACTAGTATCAGGCGATTTCTAGTTAGCGATTGGTGGGTCTATTTTGAATTTTTTGATCATTTTGTATTTCAATGTTCAGTGCAAATATCGTCGCCTATGGCAATTCTCTCACTAATATTTATCTCCTCTATCTCGGCGCCACGGACCTCCTCTCGGTATCTTTGACTAGTCCCAGGTTAGGAGATAGGATGTAGCCACACACAAATACTCGGCAATCCTAATCACCCCCCCCCCCCCGACGCACAGCAACCTAGGATCATATCCCTCACTCCAACTGCAACGGTCTTGCTTCGTAGGAGACAACCTCTAAAACACAGGAGTTGCTTTGAAGACCTGTCTCTTGTCACGTTCGGGCCATGGCCTCCAAAATGCCGACATTTAACGCATTCTATTAGCCTAACCTGATATTAAATGGGGGCTTTTCATATGAGGGCACAACTACCATTTACAAAAGTATTATATTACCATATTGCATATTTTCAATCCCTGTTTAATATTGCGCTTTGGAGAGCGCCTCTGGCTGCCTCAAAATGGAACTTCTCCGTTCCACTTATCCCTTTTTTTTGAGACACCAAGTGCATTGGCGCCACAAGCAACTACATCAACACATTCCATCAAAATAGGATTAAAATCGCTCACTGGAATCGTCATATTGAATCCTTAAAAGACAGATAAACGAGACGCAATCATGGCAACATGGATGGTGACGTCTGCCCTCACCACTGAGTACAGCATCGAGGTACTTGCACTCCATGACGTCCTGGTAGGTGAGTTTGCCGCCCTCGTTACGCTCAATTCTGGCCGCGACCTCCGCCCTGAGACGAGCCTGACATTGAGGGTTGCGGGCGAGAAGCGCTGCGGCGAAGCAGAGGGTGTTGGCTGTGGTGTCGTAGCCCGCCAGGATGAAGAGGACGCATTGCGCCACGATGGTCGAGTCCTTCAATCCACCTTCTGCGAGTATAAAAGAATGTCAGATCACTTTCTGTTATCGCTTAGTTTTCGTCATTTGCAGCCGAATGTCACCTCACTTTCTGTTACATGAAAACGAATGTAAACTCTATGTTCAAGTCCTTCAGAAATGGACCAAGCAAATGTCTGCCCATTCAATTATGATTTCAACGGACCATCTGTTAAAGAGAACTTATTTGTAATGATTGTATGATTCCACACGGTACTTTATAAAAATGTATATTTTTCTAATGTCAATAGAATTTTTTACTTCTTAGTTTTTACTAAATTACGCACGCTGCCAGATAAAATTAGTCTTTGAAGCCATTGAATCGAAGTAAAAAATAACACTTCCGACCGATTCGTTGCTAAAAACGAAACATTAGTGATGGAAAAGCGGGTTACAATAAGGCGCCCAAATGTTTATTTTACCTTACATCTTAGCAAGCTTATTTCCAACCAGTAACGTACTTTTCGCCCCCTTGGGATCGACCTCGCCCTCCTGCTCCTTCGTCGATTCCCTGGCATCCAGCAGCAGGTCCAAAAAGTCACCTCGGCGAACTCCTTTGGTCCTGGCATCCATTGCATCCCGAACCACTTTTTCCATATAAATCAAGGAAGGAGATGCCAAGCTGATACGCAAAAACTTTACCAGTTTTGGGAATAGCACGAACGAGATAAACTTTACCATTTGCTTAAATGTAATTTTGGACATATCTGCTGCTTTTTCTATGAATTCCTTGTTTTCGCCACGCAACGTGTTCGTCTCCAGACCAAAAGCGCAAGAAGCTATTACATCCATGGTGAAGCTGTTGAAGCTTTCTTTGACGTCCACAAGAAAATTCGCATCTCTGCGCTGTCTCAAGCTGCTCATCAAAGTATTCGATTGTTCCTGGACGAGGTGGAACATATCCTTCATCTTGCCAGAGGTGAAAGTGGGAGTGAGCTGGTTTCGGATGTGCTTCCAGTGATTCCCTGTTGCGTTAGTGAGAATGTCGTTCATCACCTCAGTATCTGTGCCTGTCATGTCCATGTTGCGGCGGTCGACGAAGTGGTCAAAATCCTTAATGCATATCGAGACGATAAGTTGCGGGTCTTGTATCGATAAAGAAGGCGTGAGGTAATCGTAAGTCCCGACGTATCTTTCTTCGCGAGACTTCAGGTATTCCTGGAAGTTAGAGGCTGTTTGAGTCTCAAATGTGCCAACTATTAGTGCCAAAATTGATGTCCGATGAATGCATCTCACCCATTAATAAATATATAAGATACAAAAAACACCGGATTGTAAGAAGCTCCTGTATATTCTGGATTCTCATGCGGAACGTCAAATCAGACTGTTAATGTCATCAAATTTCAAGAAGATTTCGGAGTAATAATTTACTCATCACAAGCTCTATTCCTCGTAACATAAAATTTTTCATACGCGGTCATTGCAAGACAGCTAAAAATATTGAATTATATTCGCATCAAGCATGGATAAATTTATCAGCGACAACTCTGGAGGACAGGCGAGCTACTTTCCAACACGTTATTCCTACCCTATTAATTACACATTTCTGCTGTCGAAACAATTCGTTCTCTTAAAATCGTACTGACCTCATACCTCCAAAGGTGCCCCACTTTGAACACGTTCAAGTTGTACATGGTATGTCCAACCAGAGGCAGGTACGGCAGCACGGGTACTCCTCTCCTCTGCCAGTAATGCTGTTTCCTCCAAACGTGCAATATCAACGCTGTCAACAGCACTACCAGCACCGTCACCACAAACCACCACATATCTGCCATGGCAACCAGCGTTAGGTTCAGGAAACATTTCAGTGGAGAGGGTCATAAATAACAACAAATCACGAAATTTCTCCAGTAGCAGCACAATCACGCTTATTCCATTGAGATCCGCCACTTTACCAAAAGTTCAAGCCATACTAAAGAAAATATTCCATTCTACTACTTTTTAGGAAAAAACTACAAAGAAATACTTTGTAGTATTTTCCATCACGCCATTTCCAGCTACCATGTTGAAGTAATACCAACGCAACAGGGAATCACAGAACCGACATACAAATAAATACATAAATTACATCCTTCCGCGAGGATAGCCACGAAAACCCACGCTGCTCAATTATGATGAAAAATAGATGCAGGATAATTAAATCAGATTGATTCGGCCTAATTTAGAATGTCACGGTAAGAACGTCAGAGAGCCCAATATAGCGCTCTGCTAGTAGCAGAGCCTGAACAATGGAGTATCAACCTTACAGCGACTTCTTCGCGCTCCGCCTCACTTAATAGCCTAATAGGTGATAACTTTACTCTATAATTTTTTATGAAACCCGGTCTTTACACGTACAAATAACTTACTAAATCATCTCCAAACAAAAGGATAGCAATACCGATGCATTTCTCCGACGTTGTTGACATAGGGGTAGCTGCCGTCTTCTGTCATGGTAGTGGTACGCAATCCAATCTGGTATGTACGATTTACTTTATTCCGCTAATCCTGTTCGCTTCAGCTCATGAACAAAGCAATGTTAGACACGACGTTCAACGGGAATAACATCGTCGTTACAAGAGAAACTTCGGGAAAATGCTTGCTTAGCCGGGAAATTTATGAATAAGAACGAATACTGCGTTAATTAAGGTTTGAATTTAGCTCTTTCCATAGAAGCGATCGAGTCTTTCAATTTTAGTGTTTTAGATAAATTTATCGTAATCCAAAAACTTACGACGGTCTCGTTCACTTACATCAGTGTTATTCAGCGTCGATCCAACGTTAGATTGCCTATCAGCGTGGAACAACAGGCAGTGGGGGTATACTGAATGGAAGATCTCCCAGTGCCAGCCCCCACCAAACCATGTTCGGCATTGCTTGGCCGTTCCTATGAACTAAATCTTTCACTGTGTGATCACCCTAGACTTCTTCATCAAGGTAACACACATACAACTCGATTCAATAAATATACTATCTCTGTGCTAAAGCCGGTATACATATTCAGCTTTCGAATTCTACCTTGATTAAGTGCTCAACCCTCAAGGATTACTAATCGCTATTAGTAAGAACGATTCGTCATTCTGCACCAAAATACCATTGACCGCTGACACTGAACAGTGATTTGAAAGTTGTAGAGGTCGTGAATTAAACGTTATATTATTGGGAAATGCAGCCGTGCACCACCAAACTTGTGCACCGATCAGCCCTGAAAGGAACGCCTAGCATATTTCAAGATGACCAACTATAAGCTGTGGATTAGGCCAACCGTCAGTAACCGGACCATGACATCATCTTGATTTAAATATTAGGAGTTTAACGCCACCGTATTCTGAAGCGAATAGCCCAGAGTGTAATGATAGTCCACCACTGAACGTTGCACCGAATCATCACTTCATACCCTGACTTTAGCTCGAACTGTAACTAGCTGACAACGGACTGCGACCAATCAGCCCAGCTTGCCAGTGGAACTGCATGCATCCTGCCGTGCATCACCAGAAGGTCACTTTTAGCTCACAACATCAGTGTTAGGTTTCAGATAGCGTAGTTCTGTTTAAAAATCTATCTTCCATCGACGAGTGACTTCCGCAGCTTCGTTAAATTAAGTAACTTCTAGCTCACAGCATCTGGGGTTAGGTTTCAGATAGCATAGTTCGGTTCCAAACTTTATCGTCCTATAACGACGAGTAACCGTTCGACCGTAGGCTGAGTCGACACACTGGGCAGATACGGATGGGTCGGCGGCGGGCATCATAATCACTAAAACTCTATAAGGCTCCGGCGCGCTCCGTCCGGGTGGTGTAAAATTTTTTCGCGTATTGGCAGACGATGCTGGGCCATACTACGTCAGGCTACTGTCCTGTGGGCTGACCGATCTAATTCAATGGATGTGATCTGTTTGTTGGCTTGCGGGTGATAATGTTACAGTCAAGAAGTGTTATACCTGTTAATAGGCTGTTATAGGTTACGTTCTTGAGGGAAGGGATCATGATATTCCATTCGAAGCACGGCAGTGGTGGTCTCCGACAGGCGTCTCATTTTATTGTTAGGTATTGGGCTTTTATTTAATAAATGCGATGCCAAGTTGAATGAGTCTTAGAATGTTTGAATTGTAGAATAATATTGTAAGAATGTTTAGAGAGTATTGAAATTGTGCTGGGAAATTGCGGATAGGAAAAGGTAGTAGTAGGAAGTTGGAACGTGGTTTTGCAAGCAGCATCTTCTGATTCGTAAAGCTTGTCCTTTAATTGGACTGAAGCTAATAGATGCTTATTTCTTGTGCTACAGTTGTCGTGTGTGATGAAAACTGTTAATATAATTTCTTGTGCAATTAAGTATTTCACGTTAACATTGATTTAATGAACATTATTGAACCAGCCACTATACGCACGACAACGTCTCGTTGCATCTGAAGTGTTAAGGGACAACAAAATAATTCGAAATCAGGGAAAATATTAGCCAGTGCCTTCTGGCATGCTTACCAATTAGGCAAACTGAAACCAACATCTCGCACATGACTGTTGCTCAGCGCACACAGTGTCAGAGTCGCAGTCACAGACGAAGAGTTCGGCGACTGGCGGGAGATTTAATGCCCTAAACTGCAGAACTATAATTATTTCTACCCTAAATTTTGATTTACGAAGTTTCGGTAAAATTAGATGAACTTTCTTCTCTTCATATGAAATTTTACTGCAAAAACCCATTTTCGATTGATTTTTTATTGGACCCGTCCACGATGATTCATCATCTGGGCGTTAGTTGGTTGGGAAAATTATCTATAATATAGCAGGGTATTACTTTAAATTTTCACATATAATTTATGCTCGCCAATTATTCATAGTCATTTAAGGTCTGCGTACTGAAGATATTCAAGTAAACTTCGCACCAGTGGGTCACGTGCGAAGCGAGCACGATAGCGTCGTGATAAGCGAGATAAGGTATAGCTGAGCTCATAACATAATAAATCACGAGCATAGAACATCGTGCTCACAGAACATCGTAAGCAAAGAACATAAAAAAGCAGAACATGGAGCATCGCGAACTTCATACATCAAGACTGCAGAATATTGCGAAATCACACGCCGCGAACATTCAACATTTCAAAGATTGACCGTATACACGCAGTACATGGTAAATTCCGTCATTTGCAACCTACCGACTTAAACGTTATCATATGCTACCTACTGACTAAACGGTTGTCCTTTGAACCCTGACGACTAAACAGTTGTCCTTTGCAACCTGCTGGCAAATATTAGTCATTTGTTCCTGTTCATATTGCGATTGTTCTTTGCACCTGCTCACCTTTCATTTCGTCTAGCGTCAGGTTTGTACAAACCGCTATAGTGTCATAATGTATGAATTGTACCTACCTGTATCGCTTTCCAAAGGCTATATCATGAAACGTTCTAAATTTAAATATATTGATTTATTCGCATTAAAATTTTAGTAAATGTATATATATTTTCAATTTGAAAAATTAATTTCAACACACGTGTTTCGATTGAATTGCTGGATATCAAACCTCCTACTCGATCGTCAAGCTACCACAAAACATTTTACGTATATGAGTGTGAAGATATGGGACAAAACGCTAGTAAAGTACTCAGAATTATACACATAAAGAAATGAAAAATAGTTTCTTATATATAATTATGTATCATTTAATATATTTACATATCTCTAGACTTGGTCAACGCGACTAGTTAGCAGAAATTGGGGGAGGTCAGATAATAGAGTACGAGCTGATAACGCTCTCAACTGTGATAACGTTGGTTCGGAAATTCTTGGTTGAAGCAGATCACGTCTTGTAAGTTGCATCCTCTTGCAACGATGTTCGAAAAGAAATAAATGTTCAAATTAAGCAGAGTCGAGGAATTCATCGTCATCGAAAATAACGAGTAAGTTTGTACGTGAACGAGACGTGACCTTGAACGAGCGGGGTTGAGGCTGAAGCGGATCTAACATGGAGGTGTAAACATAGCAACATCGTTCAAATAAAACAAATAAACATATTTTTTAAGCAGCCTAACCACTCACAAGTCCTTCAATACTGAACAGATTTGCTTGAATTTTGAAATATAAGTATATTTTGTCAAGACGCTGCGATATGAACAATTACAGATTTTTACATAGCATCTTTTCCAATTAGAACGAAAAAAAATTTTCAGGCAACCTAACCACTCATCCTTCGATACTCAACGGATCTGCTCGAAATTTAAAATATGATTAGATATTATCAATGCGCTGCGATAAGGATGATTACAGACTTTTGCATTACATCGCTTTCGATTAAAACGGAAAAACCGTCATTTTAGGCAACCAAATCATGCACTCGTAGCTCACCGAATCGGCACATCCGAACCGAAATTTTTTTTCGGTTTAATTGATATCAATGAAATGCAAAAATCTGTTATTATTCCTATCGCAGGGCATTGATGATAAATACTTGTATTTAAAATTTCGAGCAGATCTGTACTGTATGGAAGGACTTGTGAGAGGTTAGGTTGCTTAAAAACTGCGTTTATTTGTTTTAATTTAAAACGAAGTAATGTATAATCTGTAATAATTTCTATCGTTTCTGTAATAATTTTATATGTAATAATTTCTATCGTATCGATAGCGTATTGCTATCTACTTAAATTCTAAAATTCAAGCAAATCCACTCAGTATTGAAGGATTTATAAGTGGTTAGGTCGCTTAAAAAGCGCGTTTATTCGTTTCAATTGAAAACGAAGTTATGTTGAATTTGTAAATATTTTTATCGCAGCGTATTGATAATATTTACTTATATTCGAAAATTCAGGCACATCCATTCAGTATTGAAGGACTTATGACTGGTTAAGTTGTGCGTGTTTTGCGTTTGAGTCCGCAGGCGGGTCCGGAGAAGGGTCGAATCGGTTCTTCACATCCACGTTTCCCAACATAACGAAATTATATTTTTTATAATAACAATTGCACACATCATTACAACTCATAACGCTCGTACACCACTTCGATGTTCTAACTAGATCAAGAGTTTCTAGACGAAGATATCCTCCTGACTAAACCAAACGAATATAATATACAAGGTGAACTTGATAAGCCATTTTTACTAAGCGAGAAGCATACGTTCGTATGACTTATTTAGTCAAACGTCTGCCTTACCTCTTAATTAGCTTAGAATTATCCACACAAACAGATATTTTTCGGCACTTGCAGAAATAGGAGGAACGGACACCGGCGCGCCTGACGCGGTCACTCGAGCAATAGTGGCGCAAGCAGCAGGCCAGCAGCCGGCAGCGTTGCTGAGTCATGTGCAGTCATTTATCAGCGATGACTGATGGAGCTTGGCTGCATCAACAGAGCAAATGAAAATGATAAGGTAAATCATACCGTTGACTGGTGTCTTTGGATGAATCATTCCTGTTAATTGTTTGCGTCAGGTTAGTAATATAACTTCCAATAAAACAGAAATTCTTCGATTGAACTACAAAGGCATTAAACTCTTCGCCACCACTCAGGCACTGAACACCCACGCCTTTCAAGTGTTCACCAGTTCCGCAATCATGTCGATGTTCAGTAGTGGTATACAGGTGCTTGCCATGTCAGAGCATTGACGATGGTCGTCAGATGGTACCAATTCACCAGACGGTACCTACGTCAGATGGTGCTGAGGTCAGATGGTACTGAGGTCAGATGGTACTGAGTTCAGATGGTACTGAGTTCAGATGGTACTGAGGTCAGATGGTACTAAGATCAGATGTACTGAGGTCAGATGGTACTGAGGTCAGATGGTACTGAGGTCAGATGGTACTGAGGTCATAATTCATCGCATTGCTTCCCCATCTCTAGATTAACTAGGTCTGCAAATGTACGTGGCTTCTGCCAAATTTGGGTGTTACTTTCTTATTAGAAGTTTATTGGCAACTGTTCTATTAATTTTAGACGAGTATTGAATTTCTTCATTAACGTCGACCATGTACTAAAATGCATTAATCTGGAAAAATTAACACTTTGGGATCATGTCTCTGGTCATCCGGCACTTGGTAGTGGCTACTTAAAGCTAATATTTTCCCATCTTTCCTTGAATCAAGTTTTTTTCAGATTATGTCCCATCCAGAAATGCCTAAGAAATTTCAATGATTTTTTTTTTCATAGATGGCACATTGCAGATTGTACCTACAGATTGGTTATATAATGAATGTAGTGACAAACGTCATAAAAGACTGATGGCCATCAAAGGGAAATGTCACTGTTTTGGCTAGAAATGAGACTCCTGAATTAGACCATCGACGCTCCACTCATACCGGAATATAGCTGTTGCTTTAGGTAATTACATCACTGTCTTAATTTTACATCATTGGTCTCACGAACAATTTTCTTTGCATTGCTTTGTTGAGCTCATGTTTTAATTTTATTTTTATTTTGAGTGCTGATTGTGGAAGTTTAGCAAGTTTTTGTTGTCCTGGCTTACCTACTACTTGCAAGTTATATAGTTCTTTTGGAAATCAGCTCTTCAAACTTAATTTGTTGTAATCCCAATGTTAAGGTTTGTCACGTCTATTTCAGATGAATTTGAGAGAGCCGAGCAGATGATTCTCCAAGTAGGAGCTCAGTCAACTTCATCAGAAACGGAAGCCTGCAGTCCAAGGACCATGCAACATCTCAGAAGATCGTCTGGCGCGCCCTAGCGCTCGGCTGCACAGCCCACTTCTCCAGCAACTCCTAGACTGAAGGCACGGGACGCTTCAGCTACTGCCGCGCGTTCGTCAGTTCAGAGGAAAAGCCCCGTTTTCATTCCGCGAAGACCAAAACGGGTCTCTTCCTCCACCACAACCACATCGCTACGGTGAGGGCTACATCCGACGGTCTAAGTTTGCTCTGTGTTGTGTGGTTCCGAGCAGAGGGAAACCCTCTTGCTGACGCTGGCTGGCATACGTAATTTTTAACCTCAGAATAATGAACAAACAATCTTTCCTTCCAATGTTTTAATTTCATGAGGCATGCACTCAGTTGCAACCAAAATATTGGGAACGGAAACAAACTTGACCGTAAAGGATCAGCAAGATAATTAATCTGAAGAGATAAACGACTGCAACGAAAGTTGAGTAGAGATACTGCTTGTGTCAGGATGTGTAAATGATGTTTAAAATTGAAAAGATGGAAACTAGGTAATAAACAATGTAATATTAAGGGGAGCGTCTGGGTTAAAAAATTCTGTATTTCTGAAAGATATTTCTGAACCCCATTCACGACTTCACACATATTTAAAGCACGAATTCAAGAACTTTCTGTTCGTATGAATATTTGCACATATTAAAGGAAAAACTTGAAAAGCATAGAAAGCGGAAAAAGAGGGCAGTCACTGCTACAATATGCAGCCTGACAGTCACTGCTACAATGAGCAGTCTGGCAGTCAGTGCTACAATGTGCAGTCTGGCAGTCACTGCTACAATGTGCAGTCTGGCAGTCTGTGCTACAATGTGCAGTCTGGCAGTCAGTGCTACAATGTGCAGTCTGGCAGTCAGTGCTACAATGTGCAGTCTGGAAGTCACTGCTACAATGTGCAGTCTGGCAGTCACTGCTACAATGTGCAGTCTGGCAGTCTGTGCTACAATGTGCAGTCTGGCAGTCTGTGCTACAATGTGCAGTCTGGCAGTCATAGTTAAATATAGTAACCGTAGAAATGCTAGAAATTTGAGTCGCAGTTGGAGAAGAATGTTCCATAATGATCCTGCACGATGCAGTCATGATGATGATAATGCACGGTGCAGTCATGATGGTGATGCACAATGATGTCATAATGATGATGCACAATGCAGTCAAAATGATGATGCACAATGCAGTCATAATGATGATGCACAATGCAGTCATGATGATGATGCACAATGAAGTCATAATGATTCTGCACGGTGCAGTCATAATGATGATGCACAATGAAGTCATAATGATTCTGCACGGTGCAGTCATAATGATTCTGCACAATGCAGTCATAATTAATGATGATGCACAATGCAGTCATAATGATGACGCGCGGTGCATTCATAATAATAATGCACAATGCAGTCATAATGATTCTGCACAATGTAGTCACAATGATCGTGAACGATGCAATTAATTATGAACGCAATCTTAATGACATCGAAAAACGAAGTCACGAGCGTTCTGTTCGCCAGTTCTTCCGGCTTTGAAATAATGTAAAAAGTCAATAGCCTCATCATAATTCCTTAGAATGTTCGGTATTTAGGTAAATCTTTTAGCTCAGGATAAATTAATTTAAAAATAGGTTAGATAATTTACATTCCATTTTAAAAATTGATATTCATAAGAAAATAATCATATCATTATATACATCTGAATAAGACAAATTCGAAATTTTAGTTTATTTCTTATCATGAATTTTTTGAACTCATTATTTATTATTCTCAATTATTAAAATGTTTGAATCGCATTATAAACTGCAACGAATATCGGCAATTTGATAAAATTATCAAGTTATTGTCAATAGTATTATGTAGGAAGAAAATTTTTTTATTAGGTAATTGCGATTCCAAAAAATGGAAGAGAAACGTCTGTGATATACTTTGGAATCATATATTCATTTAGTTATCATGGCAGGAAGCATTCGACTTCATGCAGCACTTGTCAGATGTCCGAAGTCTTCGACTTGATGCAGCACTTGTCGGAAGTCCTAATGTCCATCCCGGTCTCCACGCTCCCCTTGATGGGGGCGGTCGCCCCTATAGACGTTGTCAGTGAGGCAGCCCTTAGCCACCGACCTGACCGAGTTGTCCGGTAAGCCCAATTGTGCCAGCTTTGGAAAGGAAAATATGCAGGGTTGATCACTGAAGTGCATGCAATGAGTGTGATTGGAGTTAAAATAACCCCCCCAAAAAAATAAGTTCAGCAGGTTTGGCTGCGCTGGAAAGTTATGAGCTCTTCGTTGATGCTCGCTATGTTATGTTTCTCAGCTCGCTCATATATCATGTCATGGCGACATGGTGACAAGCAGTACCAGACATAGCGACTTATGTACGCTAACTTGAGAATGCTGCTTAACTCACTTTATAGGTTGACTTCCTGCAGTGAGTTAAGCAGCATTCTCAAGTTGGCCTACATAAAAGATAAAGCCTTCAATTTTGGAACATGGCGCTGTCAATGTCACATCTATGCAACTATGTTCCCAAAGTAATTCACCCCATTCTTTAATTATTATTCACAATGAAAACATTTGAATACTTGAAATTTTATACAGAGCACTTGGTTATGGTCCATTAGGCGCTTAGCATTGTTTCACAGTTTGTATCTCCGTATTCAGATACAAATAAACAACATAAATGAAACAATCTTAAATAATTGCATTAGAATATTCTTACAGCGATACGTAATGTATCACCATGCATCACTATGCCAATTTCTCATACACACCACAATTATTATTTTATTGCTGTAATGACCATCACGATGTACTCACTAGCAACATGAAGAAAACTATTACTAGGACAGACAAAAAAGACGCGCAGGCGCCTTTAGTTTTCTTACTCTTGCAATTCCTCCGTGATGCAAATAAATGCTGTTGTCGTTTACAATATTAACAGGGTACAAGCACACGGCCTCCCCGGCGTACTGCAGGCCCCTGCACACCAAAGACGCCATTAACCTTCATCAGATGCTAATCAACGCTCTATGAGGTACGTTTCATCAGATTATATGAGGCACGTATCCTAACACTAACTAACTAACTAACTTCTAAAGACCCATCTCCTAGCATCAATATTTTTGTTCCTCTGATACCTAAACAGAGCTGCACTCGTTTAATCTTATTTACACTGCACAGAGGCTCTTGTTTTGGAGGCATTCATCTTTTCTTGTGAAGTACCTGAATGCTGACGTCGCTCATCTTCAGATATGTAAATTAATTTCCATCATATCATAAAAGACGCAAAATTAAATCGAAGCATTTATCCATCCCGCAGATATTTGGGTTGAATTATAGCACAAGACGTACGTAAAGAAAGTCCACGGCGATTGTCCACTGATCGACACGGAGGACACATTCATATCCAAGTTGGCGACGGTCGGGACATTTGTGTTGCCTTTGAATTCATTGCCCGTCCACAACTCCCCCTCGTAGAGGGTGTAATAGACGTCGTCCATACCGTAGGGGCTTCCTGGGTACCGCAGAGAAGATACCTGCATCTGCCAGGTAATAGTAGTAAATGTTTATACATCCACTATGATACATACATAGAGCGTACATACAAAATGTGATGCATACACATATAATAAATACCCATTTATTAAATACATTCGAGTAATGAATCCTTCCGCGTTTGCTTACAGAGAGACTAGAAGAAATATTGTGGCAGTCGTTGATCCCGTCATAAGCAGCACTAGTTCCGTTGTAGTATCGCTCGCTGTACATCAACCACCTGAAAAGAGAGTACAGCAAATTTCTGATGGTTTAATGAACACATGAAGAGGAATATCTCTAACGAGAAGCATTAATTATATAATAACACATATTTTCTGCTAGTTAAATTACCAATGAATCAGATGGGGTAAGTTTTCACATCCTATTACGAATGGACGTAAAAAACCCTAATGATTGTATTTCCAATTTCACGATCACGTAATGAGTCACACGCATGCAGTTACTGTGACTCAGAGGTGACACTGGAGATTGGGGAACCAAAGAGACACTCAACTTGATAAATTTTAAGGTCGATGTAAGGAGAGTCATTTGAACTTTTTTCAGCAACACCATCCTGATATCCATTCACTACTTTTTATTCGTGCATGATACTTCACCGAAACTCGAATACGTCGCTCAAAAATATTCACTCACAGTCCAGTTAAGCAGATGCGTACAATGGAGTTATCCATGCCCTGGACGCTGAGGTCGGGGGAGTAGTCCAAGAACTCGTGGTAGGGGCCGTCGGGGTCATAGTCGGTGTAGGCTCGCAGGTACCGCAGGTCGGGGATGTCTGGGGTGATGTAATAAATTCAATTAGTAGAATTTTAAATAGTAAATTTTGTAAGTTATTTCTTAATTCTGAGATACAGATGTGTAAAAAATATTTTTTGAATGACATTTATTTGTGCGTTCTTCATACTTCTGATAATCGTCACTTAATCCCTCACTAGCACATCCAAAGATCCTCACCGATGGCCAGCGCCGTGAAGCAAGATATCGCGGCCACGAGGGCAGGTAAGACGCGTACCAAAGATCCCATCTTCTCGACTGGTGACTTGCAATGGAGCAGCTGGACGAGGTAACTGCTTCAAGTAGCTGTAGTGCTACAGGTGGGCGATGGCGCAGTTATATATTCCATTATATACTTCAGTATCAAATCAGTGTGCAGGGATAACAGAATGTTATAGAATCCAAATAGATGAGAGGATATCAAGTCTGGTATGCCGCTGCATCAAAGAAAGATAAGCATGAAAATATCAGCACGTGTTCCTCGCGTAAATCTCTCACAATTAACGTTGATAAATCATTACAAATCATGTCATGTTATATCATGGCATGTGTTGTTTGTTGTCATGTGTTGTTTGTTGTCATGTGTTGTCATGTGGTTATCATGCGTCGTCATGTGTCGTCATGTGTTATCATGTGCTGTCATGTATTGTCATGTGTTGTCATATGTTGTCATGTGTTGTCATGTGTTGTCATGTGTCGTCATGTGTTGTCATGTGTTGTCATATGTTGTCATGTGTTGTCATGTGTTGTCATGCGCTGTCATGTGTTGTCATGTGGTTATGCCATGTCATGTCATGTCATGGCATATTTATGTTTTTATGCTCACGCTTTGCTCATGTGAATTCTTCAGAGTTTCTTGAACTAGATCTCAGCAAAAACCTTAATACTCGTACACCTTCATCTCCAAATTTACCGTCGGCAGAAGATATAGGCTTGAGAAAGGCATCAGGTGTTCGCCGTCTCATTAGATAAGTGTTCTGGTAGGACTAGCATAATACATCTCATTATGATCTCAACTAATGGCAATAGTTTGAAGTTCTCAATAATGAAGCCGAAGTTGTGCTTTTAGTATCGAACACAGTTTTTGTTCTACGAGTACGCGCGCATAACAGGTTCGGAGGAAACTTCTGATGAAATTACAATAATGCCAACATTGGGCGGGGACGTGGAAAAGTAGTTTATAAGTAACTTCAAATACTATTTTTGAAAAATTATTATTTAGATTAATATAAGTATCGATAATTTTCAGTAATAATAACATTTTAGTGAGTTGGATTTTTTTTTTGCTCCTGCACTATTGTACATTGTACACCTCATTGTAATTTATCCCAGCGCCTCGTAATGCGTGTCAGCTGCAGTCAGTGCTGCCTCGTAATGCGTGTCAGCTGCAGTCAGTGCTGCCTCGTAATGCGTGTCAGCTGCAGTCAGTGCCGCCTCGTAATGCGTGTCAGCTGCAGTCAGTGCGTGGCTAATGTAAGGACGAGTCTCATGACATGGCAGTGGACTACGAGATGGATATGTTTGAATTGGCAGCAGACTTTGTTTGCAGCAACATGGCAATAATATAAATTAGATTGTCAAGTTTATTTCATTTTTATCATTTACCTATGATTTTTCTATCAACGAAGCTGCATCAATGAACCCACCTGCTACATTCATCCATCATTCATTCATCCATTATTCATTCATCATTCGTTCATTCTTGATTCATCATTCATACATTCATCTCTCATTCATTCATTTATCATTTATTTATGTACTTGTCATTATTTTATTCATCATTTATGTATAATTTCTTTATCATTTATTTATCAGAATGAACTTTATTCCGTTCAGTTCTCCATTTTGGTTAATTTAATTAATTTTCTCCCTTTGGGTTAATTCCTTTTTCTCACACACCTGCAATCAAAGTCTCAGCCAAAATGTTTCATTTTAGTTAGAATAGATAGCCTACAGCAAGAGCTTTCCAATGGTACTAAAATCTTTAAAATTGGCTCATAGGAAACCTAGACATGATAATTTTTCCCTAAATTAAGTGGCAAAAATTGGGCCATTTTGGAGACATAATTTAATAAAGGAAAAAATTCATATCTTTTTCTTTTTTACTTGCATTACACTCATATTTATATGAGAATTTTCTAAATTTTTTCTCTTGTCAACAGTATAATTTTCTTTACGATCAGAGGAAAACAAATTTTGCACACACCTACTAATAACTAATGCGTGTCAGCTGCAATGAAAATGCGTGTACACAAAGATTTTCGTTAGTTGCTTCTCCATAAACCGACAACTTCTACAATGAATATTTTCTAAAATAAAAACATTTTATTATTATTATTATTCATTTATTATTATTATTATTTTATTATTATTATTATTTTATTATTATTATTATTAGAATTCACAGAATAGTCAAAAGATTCTAACAATGCCTACGAGGTACTGAATGCCTTTCGGAATGATTGGATAATCTTTCGTCACCTGATGAGCATGTTACCGTGTTAAATACTTGCACTTTAATCTCACAACATTTTACCCAATCAACACTTCTTGGAACTCGTTTGTGATCTCAAACTCGCCTGCCCTACTGCCCCAACCACAATTCCTGACATTATGAACAGATCTGCTTGAAATTTAGAATGTAAATTTTTGTCAGCAATGCTTTGAGGGAGGAATTATTGCAGATTTTTACGTAATAGCGTTTTTGATTGAAATGTAAAAACGAAAACTTTTGCGCAACTATCCCAATCATAACTCCTTCAATTATGAAGCGGTGAAGAGATTTCCTGTCTTTGTATGGGTAATGTCATATTCCATTTCATAATAAATAACTGCTATATACTATATCAGTTCATCACGACTTCAAACGAAGAGATCGCAAAACCTTTATCAACCTTTTTCAAACCTATTGGTGTTTTGATGTCGCATAATGAGACTTTGTCCGTAAAAACAGAAGTTATATTTAGCGTTCGTGCACTAATGGTCAAAATGCAGACAACTGTCATTATCTAGTAGTATTTTCAGTAAACACTATGAAATAAAATCTCGGCGCATTGTAATTTCAAATATGGCTAGTGCTCTTGAAAACGCAAACGAGTGGGGGGTTTGAAAGAAACGCACGACAACGAACTAAAGTTAATTGTATTGATCGTAATGGTTTCGAGCTGCGTCGCCTCAATCGCACCCCGAAGCAGCGGCAAACTTCCCGACAGCGTCGGGATTGCTGGAGTGCCGCCGCTGCACCACACGCGGTTGACAAGAGGTGAATGCCTGAAAATTATGATGATAGATTTTATCAAATTGGGATGAATCTATAGAATTAAGAATAATGCCAAGAACATAGTTCTGGAAGCTATATATATAGTTCAATAATTTGAGGGTTATAACTATAACGTAGGACATTCACCTTTAAAGAGTTCACGAGTGGAAAAAGCATTAGTGATCACAATGTATCAACTAAATAAACTGAAGGTAGAAGGCCGACCGGCATGTCACTCCAATCCGTGCACTGCGACCCACCTCTACCGCAGTAGGCTTTCATAGAGTCCACAAACGAGTCAGCAGGCGACGTAGTCGGCCTCCTGCGCGCCGTCGGGTGCGCGCGTCTCCACGGAGTGCCATCTCGCTGACGGGGTCCACCGAGAAAGGGCTAGCCGCTCTTCATAATCACTCGAAGACTCGAGTACAAATACGGAGCTATCCGTACACGCAGGGCAGTGAAGTTAAGAGAGGAGGTCGTCATGCGGTGATAGTTGGTGCTGAACTGGCTTGGAATGGCTGCCAGGGCTGAAAATCTCGAGGCTGCGGATTAACCTCGATATGGCGAAATTAAGTGGTGCAAGTAAACACGTAAGGGAGATAATGCCGTCGGAAAATGAATTTAAATTTAGACATGGGGAACATTGTGATCACTCCTTGCTTAAAATAAAATGAAATGAATGATAGCAGTTTTCAACAAGTGCTGACGTGATGTGGTAAAGTTGTAATGATGCAACTCATTCTGTCTCAGGAAGCGATTATTATATATGTATATCTGTCATTTCATCTTATAAATTTGCTCTCTCGAAAACATTGACGAATAAAAATTAAGAAATATTAAGAAATGCCAATCCCAATATTTTATATAAATGACTAAGGTTAAGTTGAAAGAAACGAACGAGAAAGATGGTGGTGAGGGTGGGAAAGAATGGCAACTCGAAGTGCATTGGCTTATTATATTACACTGTTGATGTCAAGGGATTTAATGTATTAATAGTCTGAAATATTTTGCCCGAAGTATGATAATCTTAGCGGTGACTGCAACACCCGCCCTCCTGACGCTGCCGAGTGAGACCTCAAACTGCCCAAGAAGAGCTGCTCAGTCAGGACCTCCTCGCCGCCGACACCCAAGTTCCCGTAAACAGTCATGAAGTAAACCTCGCGGCCCCCAGTCATGAAGAGAACATACTGAAGAAGGCGACGAAGCTGCTGTTGTTGAACACCTTGGAGACGCCAAAGTCCGCGTTTCATCTCTCACCGTCACTGTCAAGCGGCAACTCTTCGCCCTGCAGTTCCTTCTGAGGAGTGATAACTTCGTGCGTTTAGCAGTCATCGAAATAGCTCATACGCTCACTGAAATGGCTCACGCTTTCAACTATTAAGGGGGGTATACCCTCCAGAAAAACTTACACATTTACTAACGGATCTTTCTGAAACTTTCCACATATATGTAAAACCGAAATACAAGTACATTTTGTTCGTAAGATTTTTTCGGAAAATTAATAGAAAACGTGAAATTCATAGAAAACGGACATAAAAAAGGGGGTACTTTAAAAATCTATCTCCTTCTAGAGTTTTGAAGCTACAGCGATAAGACATATACCATTCGATTTGTAAAGACCATACCTATGGAGTTATCGAGCCCTTTTTTTCATTTTGCCTTAGTTTTTACACGCATTTTTCCGTTTTCTTCTTTTTTCCTCATTTTCTTCAAACTTTCCCCCCTCCCCCATTTTTAATCCAAACTATACACAAATTTAAAAAAGGGCTCGATAAGTCGATAGGTATGGTCTTTACGTATCGAATGGTATATGTCTCATCGCTGTAGCTTCAAAACTCTAGGAGGAGATAGGTTTGCCGCGACAATAAGTGTGAATGTTCAGCAGAGTGCGACAAAGTCCCGCGCGCATCGCAATAGGCCCTCAATGTAGCAAGGATACGAAACTAAACGTTAATGGAGCTGGATTCCACTCAAGGATGGTGGGAGCGACTGCATGCACACCTCCTCATACGAATCCAGGCGGGTTACTGAGCTGCACCTCAAGCAGACACTGTATTTAAAGTGCTGGGCAGCGAATTACCTTCTATCTTATTTGTTAAAGAACTCCTCCACCCTCCCCCCTTTCATGATCTGTCGTGAACGCATAAATCAACGTACAGAGATGGTAATGGCACCGTTGGATAGGGCAGAATGTCAGCTTTAAGATGAGACTAAAAACCGGGAAAGGCAAATCCGAAAATTTTAGGGTATACCCCCTCCCCTTAACACCGATAAGTAATGGGGATAAATTTCATCAAGTATTAAATATTATCGCTTCCACCGTTGTCGTGCTACTCTCTTCATGACTTCTGGAAGAGCAACACTTCACTGTCCTGCAGTGCTATGCGCTCAAACAGAAATAAAACACAGCCGCATTCACATCTGCATTGATCAACCAGATGATGGTACATGTCGGTACCATGAGCCAAGGGGAATATGCGCAGAAGTTTGTTTTTTCTTTATCAGTGATCGAGAATATAACTGATGATAAACAAACACTCCTAGAAAAAATGAAGGAAAGTAAAGATACCGTATAACATTGAAATTACACGGACATTAATATCGTTGTAATATCTTGTATGTAATATCTAATATCTTGTCTCATTTATGAAACCCAACCATTAAAATGTTCTTTAACATTTCTTTACGAAATGTACAAGCACGACACTAAGGATACTAAGGACAAATCTATTACCTATCCTCAAACCTAACATCCAATGTATTCACTTATTCATGTACCAACAATAACGTACTTGGCACATCCACGGCACACACGACACAATTTTCAATAGTTTAATTCAGTTCGCTCCGATACAAAAATCAAATAAATACACAATCTCTACAATCCCCAACATCTGAAAATTCTCTTCCCTTCCGTTCAGCATGTGTTAATTACCAATTCATTCATGACCTATTTCTTTCATATTGAGTACATTTGTTTTATTCATGTATATTATAGCCATTTGTTTTGGGTTTCTCTCATGCTCATTGTAACAAACGAGTAGTAGCAACAGACATTTAAAATAACTAATACGTGTAGTGGATTCTCCCCCCCCCCTTCCTAACAATGCGAGGAGGAGAGGATCTAACGTGAGTGCGTTCGTTCAAAAGGTAACCGACCACATTTCATAAGAGTCATTTCATCATTGACACATTTCATCAATTTAGCAATTCATCCATGGACATTCCATCGTTGCAAATATGCGTTTTGCAAACATAAGTGAAAATAGGTGCAATTAAGTAACATTCTTATCAATTGAACATCGTATATAATTAATAAATGTCATATATTTTGTTATACACGTACCATCCTGAGATTAGGTTGTAGGTAAGAACGAGTTCATTCGCTGAAATTTTGGTAAAATTGGTCTTGTGTCAAGATCCTTTACAGTTGTTTCAGTGAAAATAGCAAGCGAACAATCGCGTCGTAACATTGTTTCGGGATCACCCTTGAACTTCGAGTAGAATGCATGTTGAGGCATCGCAACGATGCTCTTTATCGCGACCACTATCGTCTCAACGAATGACAACCATACAAATCAAAAGTTGCGGGCGTATATCTGTAGACATATAAAAACTGGTAATCAGGATAATTCATCACAAAAGGTAAATTCCTCGCCAAATGAAACTTGTTTCCGGTTATTAACAGATGCTGTCGTTTTGGGATTCCTGCGTTCACGAGCTCGTTTAATGAATAAACACAGAACCGAAGTTATTGTATGGATAAAGCTCGTACTTTTTAGCGCATTTTCTCATTTATGGAAAAAATGCACTATTGTGCTCGCCATGTCCGCCCGTCCGTCCGTCCGTCTGTCTGTCTGTCTATCCGTCCGTCTGTCCATGACCTCAAGTTTTCGTCGACGAGGAAATGCGCTCTGTCACTCACTGCAGTGAGTACTGAGTTATATTTTTTCTGTTAATTGATTTCTACGAAGAACATGACCGATCACTTAATCCACGCCTTGCTACTTTTCTAGCATTCAATCAATTATTCTAAATTGAAATAGCTTGAACCACCCATAATACGTAATATATAAGAACATAATATTCTCATGCTATTACAGCACAGAATATATAAGAGTTGTTACTAATCAAGAGACTAAAAAAATAATCTATTTTTCCATATCATCACGTTATATCATATTTATACAGTGTGCTATGGGTTCGATCTCAGCTACATGCGACAGTTCTTGTCAAATCTGCGAGAAGGATGGGCGATCAAGCACAGCAAAGTTGGAGCAGTGAGTTGTGGGAAACAAGACTGCAATAAACTTTGAAAGTTCTGTAGCATCTATTACAATTATTATTAATTTTTTTGTTATAAAAATCATAAACGCTGCGTGATCCAACGGCAACAAGACCACTCAGATAACCATCTCGGTTATATGATTGGGAATACTGCCTTTAGTTATAATCCCACGAAATAACAGTTCCCGAAAAGTAATATATTTCCTCAGCGTCACACGAAACATTCAGGCTTAGCTGAAGAGCAGCTTCTTCCTAGTCTTCCTATTAGGGACGTGACAGTTGGGACAGCCCGGGACGCGTCCTGCTGCTGCAGTTGGCGACCCGGGACGCTTCTGCATCTTGTGGTAATCCAGCCACGACTTCACGGGTACTGATAGTGCAATGGGTGTTATTGGGACATTGGTTACCGGTGCAGTTGTCGATAGTTCAGTTTGTTGCGGACAGAACATGTGATTTTGCAGTTGTTGCAGTTGCAAATTTACCGGACTTTCTTTTTCATGGCGGCAGTTACCAATTTGAAATGCCCTTATGGTTCTTCTGCGTTATCTTTGCCCTCAAGAGTTTCTTCAGCTTGGTAATTGACATCATTTCTTTGATGGTTGTCTCAACTAAATTCTTGAAATTATTCTTCACAATCCGAGGCAGAATTTCGACTACAGTCGCTTCTACGACAGGCCTAATATTCTGCGACAGTGCGTTCTGTACCATGACGTTCGCTTTGGTTTTGATCATTTCTTCAATTTGTCGTTGAATGTCGGCTCCTACGTGTTCTTTTGACATTCCTGTAGGCACGAAAGATCGTGGGTCCGCATTAAAAATCAATTCTTCTCTATCAGGTCCACGAGCGCCAGTTCGAGTCCTCGCATTCCCTTTACCCACGGCTGCTTGGGCCTGCGCTGCAGCGCTCGTTCCCGGCGCCTCTCTAGCCGCATGTGACGCTGCGGCCGACGAAACGCCTGTAATGCACGCGGGTATCGAATCGAGCGGGTATCGTACCGGGCAACCACCTCGCCCAGGCGAGGTGGTTGCCCATGGAAAAGTCGGCAACGTCGGGTTTTTCGGGGATCTTCGGGGCAACTTGGTGGGCGGACCCTGGTCTCTAGGAGACCCGCTGGAATGAGGCAAGTCAAGTAGAGGCGGGTCTTCAGTTGTTCGCTTCCTCTTCCCGCATACTGGCATGAAGGCTTCACCACTCATTTCAACCCTACGCAGCAGAGGGTGCGGGTGACTATCGTTGCCTACTAATGTGAGAGTCACTTTGCGGTAGTAATCAGAGTAAATTTCCAGGTTACTAATGACCATGTCCAGCGGGTGTACCTTGCCGTACTCCATGCCTGTTAACGATAAACAAATTTAGTAGAATATTATCATTCGTAATCTATAACGTATTGGCAGTGAGAAGCCACTTTAATTGCAAATACGGCAATAACTCTCAGCTCCTGAATCAAAAACTATAGTGCAGAAAAATTCTACATTAAATCGCATTAGTTTCTTGAGGAGATCCGAAGGTATGAAAACTTTCCTAGCAGGTTATGAAGCAGTTCACCTGAGTTAGCACACAGCAGTTATGATGTAATAGGTCATTGCGGCACAGCCTAAATGTCTCACTCAGCCGACCTTCATGGCAGGAGTTGATGGAGGCGAAGTGCACACCCTGAGGCTGGCCAAGTCCCTGCGGTTGACGATGGCCTGGCAGAAGAGGTCGCTCTGCTTCTCCCCCGTCCACTTCATGTCTGGCAGCAGCACGAAGCCATTCAGGGGGTCGGCGTCACGCAGGATGACCCGATCTGCTTCGCGTTTGCCGTTCAGGATGTTGTATATCCACTGCCAAACGCAACAGTTATCATTAGGGACTTGAGACACGTCGAGCTTGGGCCAAGATGTAGCCAATACGTATTAAATTTTAAAGTGTAATCAAGACGCAAACTGAACACAGATGCAACCGCTCACTCGGTCACTCGATAAAATTGTCGACTGTGGGCAATACTTAATTATCTTTCAAGAGTTCACCCCATTAAATCTACGCACTGCACACCTATAGCCTTGTGTGAGCAGCAGCGTCAACAAATTACAGCTACAAACCTTGTGGGACTTCCTCCGCCTCATGATGAAGGCTGCAGAGTGGAACGCGTACAGCTCCGCCGTCTCCCTCACCGCAACCAAGCGACCGGCGGCAAAATTTGTGAACGCAGCTGCCGCTACCGGGTACCTGATGGTCACTTCCACCTCTGCGAATTTGAGGGAAAAATTCAAAAGAATAGTCCGCCAAATTGCGAAGCGAATAAAGGATTTTAATTTTTTTTAACACGCTGCAAAGGTGTTTTTATTGTTTTCCATAACGCTCAGATTCTGTACCAGTTTAATACTGCTATTGTGCTTCTGCGATGACCTCTACTAACTATCCAGGGTTATCGTGCAGGCTACTCATATTATTAAAGTGATGGCGAAATATAAATATATATACAGCATGTGATATGGTGGCAAATGTGGAGACTGTGTGTTGTGAAGCTAGGGGCGCTGGGTGTGAGAGGACCTTATGAAGAGTTTAGGACTTCTCAGTCTATGGTCAAGCTGATGCTCCGCCTTCGTCGTTCTCCGTCTCCAAGTCGTCGATTGGCAGGTCCCAGGGGTCCCAGATGTAACGTTGGACGTGTTTCGTCTATTTGCCATCCTTTGGGCTAGCTGATTGCTTGTCACTTGCTGAGGGTAGTTTTCCATAACTGGACAATCCCAGAGCTTCTTCAGAAACTTAACCAGTTGTTTCTTGAAAGTCGCAAGGGTAAACTCTCATCTCAGCACCTTTGGTAAGGCAGTAAACAGCCTTGATCCTACCACGGACAGTGATCCCTCACGAAGAGTCGGTACTCTGGCCGCGGCACAGTTATTGAATGGAGGAATCCTGCATAGTCTCCCCCTCCTTTCGTTGTAATACGTCACAATTTTGGAGTTCTCACATTCAAAGTTGAGAGCCAATCCGGTTATCATCTTCCAGTATGATATACGTCTCTCCTCTCCAGTGAGTACAGTCCCAGGTGTTTCAGCCTTTCCCAGTAGTTCAGGTCCAGCTCCCTCATGCCACTGATCCTGTGAAGGTCCGCTGCACTGCCTCCAGTTACCGCATCGCACCCGCCTTGAGCGGCGCTTAAAGCTGACAGCAGTATTCAAGATTGGGGAGCACGAGGGCTCTCAAGAGTGTAATCATTGGCACTGCTTCTCATGTTCGAAACGTCCGCAAGATCCACCCCATCCTTGGTCTCCCTCGCGCAACTATTTCCTCGGTGTGGTCATCGAACGTGGCTTTAGTACACATCAACATTCCAAGATCTCGAATAAGTTGCTTCTCTCCATTTTCTGTGCCATCTGATGCCAAGTAGCGATGTGGCATCCTGGTCTCTGTGCTACTCTGTATCTAATTACTTCGAACTTGGTACCGTTTAATTGCATATTATTCACAAGGGCCCAATCATAGATTGTCGCTAGTTCATCCAGTAACCTCTCACAGGCTAGGTCCTCCATGATCTTCATCAGCACTCGTGTATCGTCCGCAAATGACGATGTAGATGCGTGGGTAAATTCCGAGTCGATATCGGCGATGTGGATGAGGAAGATGATCGGTCCAAGCACCGAGCCTTGTGGCACTCTGCTTTTCATCCTCGCTTCTCTCGATTTCGAGTTTCCAATTGAGACAGCATGTACTCTATTTGTAAGGAAGTTGTGGATCCACCCTAATAGGTTTCCTCCCACCCCCAAAAGACTCAACTTTCTGAAGAGCACACCATGGTCAACTTTGTCAAAGGATTTAACAAAGTCCAGGTAAACAGGGTCATCAATATTTAGCGTTACATTGTTTTTTTCAAAATCAATACACTCGCAAAACAGTCAAATGTATCGTATGGAACCATTTCGACTGTTCTCCGGAAGGACCTAAAGTTGTCCCCCATTCAAGCATGTCAAAAAACATCAACTGTCTGCTCAAGTTGTTGACAAACGCCTCCAAAGATCCAAGATTCTTCTTTCCCGCAATCATGATGGCACGTTGCCAAGCCTCGTTTTCAGTGATAAGAAGATATTCAATGTTGAACACCACTTCAACTCCCAAAATGATCAAATTTGGTCGAAGAATGGGACGAAGGATACCGTGTGGGGACTAGGAAGCAATGCCCGACCTCAGTGATGGTCTGGGCAGCCGGAACAGAGTCCTCAAGGAGTCCCCTCTTTTTTGTTGACAAAGGGGTGAAATTGAATCAGAAGAACTATCGAGATGCTATCCTTGTTGGTGCATTGTTGCCCTGGGCACGAAAGCACTTCAAAAAACACCCCTGGTCGTTCCAGCAGGACTCTGCACCATTCCATGGGGCCAAATCGACTCAGGAGTGGAGAATGTTCCCCACTTCATTACCAAAGATGAATGGCCCCCATCGTCACCCGATCTGAATCCTCTGGATTTTGGGATCTGGTCATACCTTGAGAGCAAGGTCTCGACCGTTCACCATAGCAGTTTGGACTCCCTAGAGGTCAAACTGCTGAAGGAGTGGGCCAAAATCCCGCAGAGTGTCATTCGTTACTCGAGTAAGGCTTTCTCTAAGCGTCTACAACTCGTTATTGATGCAGATGGTGGACATATTGAATGAAATTGTGGGAATTGTATCTCTGAACCTCTGCCTACATAAATACATTTTCAAACATTCACAATTGTGTTTCATTTCATAGTTCTAACCACTCAAAGTTGTAACGCTAAATATTGATGACCCTGTACTACGTCCACGCCAGCTCCCTCCTCCATGTAGGGCCATAAGGCGGTGATGGCATTCCAGTAACTGTGACAAACAGGAAAGATTTCGCCGGAAACCAAGTTGTCCATTATGATACAGTCCAGTCTCTTCCATGTAATGGACAAGCCTCCTGGCCACTACATTCTCAAAAACCTTGATCACCTATGAGGTCAAGGTCACCGGTCTGTGGACGTACTTACAGGGGAGTGCTTTATGTATGATGGATCAACTCACCCCATCCATACGGTCTATGGTGTTCCTCACTGCTCAGCATGGTTATGGTGCTGCTCACTGCTCAGCACGGTCTATTGTTCTGCTCACTGCTCACTACGGTCTAGTGTGCTGCTCACTGTTGAGGTGGGGCGGCAGGTGGGCGGTGTGTTGGCTGAAGACGTCGTTGCGCAGCAGCTCCGTCAGGCAGCGGCTGCCCGTGATCGCCTCCTGCAGCCTCCGCTCGTCAACATCAAAACGTGCCTTCTGAAATTGCATAATGCATTTCAATACAAATAAATTGCTTCTAAAATATTCTTAAAAATATTTGCTCAGTAACATGTCCAAGTTACTTAGTTTAATGACCTAGTGTTTACCAGAGCTTCAGCTTTTTAGCCAGCTCGCACCGAAAAGTCAAGATGTACATCATTGACACCAATGAAGCAGTAGTGGGTCTCAATAAGAAAGTTTCTGAAATCAGAAATCGTTCATTGCCCATAAGGCGTGGAAGGTCTCAAGTGGTCGGTCCGTCTTAACCGGTGAGAAATAAGCAGCGTTAGCATCTCAAAGAGATGAAGTGACAAGGAGGGACAGGCGAACAGCAACAGAAACGTGTAGACACTCGTAAGAGAGGTCGCTTACACGAGACATCGGTGCCCGCACGAGAGAGACAAAGAAGGGAAATGCAAGGAATCCTACATACATAATAACATAAACGAATCCTACCTACATAATAACTTAATTGAATCCTGACTACATGACGACTTGAATCCACAACCCAAAAATTCAAGCACCGCGAGCTCAGTGGTACGTGGAAAGCTCAGGAACAATGCCCATAGGAACACGAGCAATTTCTATTGATAACTATTCCTCATTTAACTCTTGATAGGAGCATTTTCATTAAAAATGTGCCAACAATTTCATTTGAAGTGGACAAATAAACAAACTTCCTTGATTGTTATTACCAATTCAAAAAGACATTGAACTCAAGCAGTCCGGGGCCAGACCACGAAGCTGTTCCATCCGGACCCTAAATTACGGTTGATTAAATAAATTTAACATCACTCAGTAGTTGTACATTATGGTCATCTCAACCTCTGAAGTCATATGGGAATTGTTGTTGCAGGCGCCTGCTGCAAAAGCAGTGACTGGGAGTATATACATATATATAGAGATTCAGCTACTGTTTCGATACAGAGCAAAATGAAGCAATCTTCTTGGTTCCGTTTACATCACAAGCTATCCCGGACTAAATTACAGAAGGTTTGTGTTTATCCCTAGACAATTTAAAGGCGTTAAATTGCCCCTGCAATAAGCATCGTTACGTAAACATGATAACATATTTCACAGATAACGTCAAACTAATGTTTCAAAGTCGCGTGACATCTGACAACTCGCGAGCATCAATGCTTGAAAATATTAATGAGAAGTGACAGTTATTATGAACGGACGGAATATCCGTGAGCAAATCTACAGAGGACAAATGCGTGCATGAGCAAATCTGAAGAGGGCTAAAATGACATACCCTGATTAAGAGAAATTAAACTTGACGGGAAATTCCCGACAAAATTACAGCTGAATAAACTATCAACTGATAAAAGAGATTATTTTATTGATTATGTTTATCATATGCAAACTTTGAGTAAAACACTATAAAACCCGATGTAATTAGTGTTTCCTTGGGTCAATAAATCATGGTCAATATGGTTTGGTTTAAATCATGGTCAATACGCATGTAAAAATTGAGAATTTACACTAATGTTACAAGACTAACCTTCAACGTGATCGCGGCCTTGCTAGGCAAGGCGACATGTTGGGCTAATAGTTCGACGGAGTAATCGCTGTGACGCAGAACCTTCAATATTTGGAATTTGGATATGTCGGTAAATTGGACATCTCTTTGTGACGAAGCCTGTACATTGGAATGCTGAGTGTGCTGACTTGGATTGATCCTGCATGAGATTACTGGACTCGTAACGTGCGTGTATGCATTGGCCTCACCGTGAGGGTGTCCAGGCTCCTCAGCGAGCAGGTGTCTAGGTTGCTCAACGCGCTGGTGTACAATCTCCTCAGCAAGCGGGTGTCCAGGCACCTCGCCGCGCGGGTGCTCAGGCTCCTCAGTGCGCGGGTGTCTAGGTTGCTCAACGCGCTGGTGTACAATCTCCTCAGCAAGCGGGTGTCCAGGCTCCTCGCCGCGCGGGTGCTCAGGCTCCTCAGCGCGCAGGTGTCTAGGTTGCTCAACGCTCGGGCGCCCAGGCTCCTCGGCGAACGGTTGTCCAGGCTCCTCATCGCACGGGTGTCCAGGCCCCTCATCCCGCGGATGACCAGGCTCCTCAACGCGTGGGTGTCCAGGCTCCTCAACTCGCGGATGACAGGGCTCAACTCGTGGGTGACCAGGCTCCTCAACGCGTGGGTGTCCGGGCTCCTCGATGCGCGGGTGTTCAGGCTCGTCTCCGCGCGGTTGCAAAGGCTGCTCAACGCTCGGGTGTCCAGGCTCGTCACCACGCGGGTGCACAGGTTGCTCAACGTTCGAGTGTCCAGGCTCCTCATTGCACGGGTGTCCAGGCTCCTTACCGCTTGGGTGTCCGGGCTCCTCGATGCGCGGGTGTCCAGGCTCGTTTCCGCGCGGTTGCAAAGGTTGCTCAACGCTCGGGTGTCCAGGCTCCTCGGCGAGCGGGTGCACAGGCTCCTCATCGCGCGGATGTCCAGGCTCCTCAGCAAGCGGGCGTCCAGGCTTCTCATCGCACGGGTGTCCAGGCCTCTCATCGCATGGGTGTCCAGGCCCCTCATCCCGCGGATGACCAGGCTGCTCAACGCTCGAGTGTCCAGGCTCCTCGACGCGCGGGTGTCCAGGCTCGTCTCCGCGCGGTTGTAGAGGCTGCTCCACGTTCGGGTGTCCAGGTTCCTCATCGCGCGGATGTCCAGGCTCCTCAACTCGGGCCATCAGTCAATTGCAATACGTAGGCGTGTAGGCTTACCAGCGAACGGAGGTCTGGTCTTATCAGCAGCTAGTGTGGGTGTGCCTTCTCTGAAGCCTGCAGCTGCTGGACTAGACGGATGACGTCCGAGTGTCCAGAGGACAGTGAAGGTAAAATGTTCTAGAATCAATAGAGTGTGCCAGCATTGACTCATGAATTTCAAAACTAACCAAAAACTCTTAAGATTATTAATATAATTATTCAAAGGTCTGAAAGTCTGGGTGACAAGTAAAGAATAAATCAAATTGAGTCAACTGCAACAGAGTAACAGAAAGTTTTGTTAAAAACAGTATTTGAAACCGTTGATATCACCAAAATTAATACATCAGCTTTAATTAAAAGCAACCACTAGCGAACGAACAACGCGTGTAAACTGATCTCTTTTCTGATAAGAGTGAGGATTTGATCAAGATATTAAAGGCCTGATGGGTTGAAAGCGGATAGATTGAAGGCCGTTTGACTCAAGCCGCTTGATCGTTTGGGGCTCCTAGAGAGCTTGGACAACCAGAACGGGGCATAAGTAACTCCCAGGACGTTTTGAGCGAGTTGCTGACTACACAAGGCTGGATTCAGACCGAACCTTCATGGCGGCCACAACGTCGCATGTCAGTGCTGGGGAAGTAACTGTTGCCCGGCCGTGGCTGGACTGCCGTGAGAACCATAGAACCATAGAGTTATTCCCACCTAATTGTTTCATGCTGACGAGAATGCAATTACATATACAGGGGTTAGACAAAATTAGGGAAGAACCTTAAAAATACACAATATATATTTTAGTAAGTTGTAGGTTCACCTTTTACGGCAATTACATCCTCAATTCTCCGAGATATACATTCATAGAAATTGTGAATTGTTTCCAAATTAATTTTAACAACTCTTCAGTTAAAACTCCTCCAGCTCTTTCATAGAAGATGGCGGCGGGAATCGACTTGCATCTCAAGAATCGACCATCAATGCTCGATAATTTTCGAGTCTGGTGATTGTGGTGGCCAAACTTCATTAGAATGTTCCACGTGCCATTTTTTAACAATTCCAGCTGTATGGATCGGGCCATCATCATCTTGAAAGATGACGTTCGGGGCATCATGACACTCCGGAATCAGTGCTTGAAGCATTCAATGAACTCGGTCCTCTAAAATTCCTAGATAGGCACGGCTGTTGATTTTTCCACGAAGAGGAATCATTGGTCCGCCGGATTTCCAAGAAATAGCACCCCATATCGTCACAGATCCCCGCCATGTTTTACGGTTGGGAGTAGGCAGTCGGAATTAAAGGACTCTTTTGGCTGTCTCCAAACGTAAACTCGGCCAGAAGTTGGAAATAATACTAATAATTATAATAATAATCATTTATTTTTATAAGTATTTAAAATTTATTATTATCATTTACGTATTATTTTCCCATTATTTCCCCATCATTTCCCCATAATTTACCCATAATTTACCTATCATATAATGAATGCATCAATAAACCTACCAGGATCATTCATTTATCATTCATTCCTTTATTCATCATTCATTTATTCATTCTTCATTAATTCATCATTAATTAATTTATCATTCATTCATCATTAATTGAGTCATTCATCATTCATTGAGTCATTCATTGTTCATTAATTCATCTTTCAATCATTATTCATTCATCATTCAATCATTCATCACTCAATCTTTCATTCATCATTTTTCATCATTCATTCATTCAATATTTCATTCATCATTCATTTTCAATCAATCTTTCATCACTCATTCATTTATTCACCATTCCATCATCATTCATTCAGTCATTCATCATTCATTCATCATTCATTCATCATTCATTCAGTCATTAATCATTCATTCATTCATCATTTAATAATCATTCAATCATTCATCATTCCTTCATCATTTATTCATCACTCATTCATTCATTCATAATTCATAAATAATTATTTTATCATGTAATTTTTCATTTGTCACTAATTTATAATATATTTGTCAAACTGGAATTTATTCTGTTCAATTCTACCTTTAGGTGAAATTATATCATTCATATCTATCAGTCCGACCTGTTTCCCCCACCACCCACCTGCAGGCAAAGTCACAACCAAAATGTTTCACTTTAGTTAGAATAGATAGCCTACAATAGCAGCTTTCTAATGGTACTAAAATCTTTAAAATTGGCTCATAGAAAACCTAGAAAATGAAAACCCTTGGTAAAAAACCCTTTGGAAACCAAAAAAGTGGCAAAATTTGGTCCATTTTGGAGACATAATGATAATTCAATAAAAGAAAAAATTCATATCTTATTCACTTTTACTTGTATTCCACATTTCCACTTATATTTATATGATAATTTTCCTAAATTTTTTTCAACTGTTTAACTTTCATTATGATCAGAGGAAAAAAATTTTGTGCACATACAAAAATTCACTAAAAATATTTGTGCAATAGTGCAAACATAAAATATCTATCAATTACCTATATAGCGGCAACAAATCAATTATCAATAAACAATAAAACACAAATGTGATATCACGTTTTCAATGTTTATAACATATTTTAAAATTACGATAATTTACTAAAAATATCTGTGCAACAGTGCAAGGATAAAATACCTATCAATTAGCAGCAACAATAAACAATAAAACACAAATATGATATAACGTTTTCGATGTTTATAACATATTTTAAAATTACGATATAATAATGTCAGGTGTTTCCCATATTTTGTCGGTTTGTCCAACCTCTGTATATTTTTCAACGAAGCAATTTTGAATTGTATTGGAATTAATTTTACAGACTGTATGCAGCTGCAGCCTGCAGGTAGGTACTGAGGTCTGAGGAAGTTATTCAAAGGTATCAATAAGCAATGGTACCGATTCAATGTTTATCTCTTTAATATTTTCCAAACTATACCCATGAGTCCCAAGTGATATTCTGGTAGTAACGCAGTAACTCAGAGACAAACGCATAATCGATTTGAAGACCTTGATTGTCGACACAGCACTTACACTACACAGTCACACTGCCACTAACTCACGCCGCTAACTGACGTCACATGGTCACCTTCACTCGTTCGTTCCTCGTTCAAACGAACATCAAACAATGCCTTGTCTGAGTCAAGATGCATGACGAGAAACCCGTCATATAAAATACGAACACTATTGACAATATTTTATTCCTGCAATATTTTCTCATTGAATTACAGAAATTAATGTGAAAAGATATTTAATGTATATTATTACGATTATATCACCCACAGATCGACCCTCGTATTTTACGGTAGAGTTACCCGTCGCTCGTTTTCGCTGCCAGGTTTTCTAATTCGCACTCACCCAGAAATATTTCCCCCACTTCAGGGCTTATATAAATGAAATTTAGCATAAGAACACGCACAGACCTTCTGTTCGTGTCTATATAAATAGAGTTAAAAAAATAACATGACATGACCTATACACGAGCGAAGGAGTACAGCAAGCCTGTGTAAAGTTTCATTAAAACATGACAATTAAACTTGCGAAGAAAAAATGATCCACGACGTAATTCATCTGAATGTCAGAAGTAAATGTAATGCTCGTGGTATTCAGTCACATCTCTCCATTAGCACGTCTCGCTCAATGCTGAACAGCAGGTGGAAGTATAAGAATGGATGATGTATCCGAAGCGGTGTCTGCCCAAGAGGTTTAGGGCACATATGAGAAAGTAGGTTTCTGGCCTCAAGCTAAGGCTACCTAATTGGCGGGCAGCTTAGCGAAATTTTGAAACTGCGAATCCGATGGTTGAATTGGATTAACTATCGTCGAACTGATACTACTACCAATCCATTTCGAACTCTGTTTTATTCAAGGCTGTACTATCTTGTAAGTGGATAAGAAAATTCATCACCTCTATTGTTTAATTCGTTGCGTATCCCTGGTGTGTGTTCGAAACCTGTCACTGAAAATACGAGGATACAGGGTTTGATAGGAAGCGTATCCCCGGATACTTTTCGGGTTAGAATTTTGCTTGGGAGTTTTTACTAATTGTAGAATTATGTGACACTCAGTAATAGCATAGCACCTTCGGCGGTGGAGAAATGGCCTGTTTTGACCCTGTACTTTTCGTGTCATGTTCACATGTTCAAAAACTGGCCTTTTGACAAAGATCTTTTCAACTGACGTTGGTTTTCACTTTACAGCATCACGTAGTAAGAGGTTTAAAATTAGAATGTGATTTTTACTGCGATACGTGCAAGCTATATTAAAAAACAAATAGTTCTAGTTACCTTTAAATTACAGAACATGACTTTAATGGACGTTCGGTACAGAATCTGAGTTTAGCACAGTCACTCCTCCGAGAATTTGGAAAGACAGAGTATGTGATAATGGGATTCTAATATAATTTTCAAGGATTACCTATTCAGGGCTATGCCTGGTTAAGCTGCTAGTAGATTATATATTTATGAAAATGTTTTTGTGTGATATTATGTTTGTTTGATGCTAGAGACAGTTCTGGATTCGCATGCCTGCAGGTATAAGGGTCAACCCGTGTCATTGTTACAGTCGTACCACTTTGTTACAGTCATACCATTCTGACCATAGGAAATAAGACCCGGATGAAACTGACAGAGATAAAAATTAAGGTTCCAAATTGTTTCCGAGATCTCACTTCCATAAAGTATGAGCTGAATAAATTAATGGCGTCCTAACTACTGCTATTTAGAATGCGCAGTCCATATGGACCCAGACAAATTTGATATACATGGATTCGCATCACTTAAAAACCGCTCTGCATGACCCTGTAAATTTTAATGGTCGTTATTATTTATCTTTCAGCATACAGTCAACACGCATATAAGCTATGAGAGATATACTTTTTCTTATCTCTCTCCTCAACACCTTATGTATCGTATATTTGTTTGTTAAAGTCCAGCATTTTTTAATCAAACTAATCCAGCCTGATTTATAACTGCTTATATATTGATATCGAACCTTCGCAGTTACATGAACTTGAAAAACCTCGCCTTATTCCCATATATAAGTTCACCAAATTCTCTTAAGTGTAAACAAGTTGAAAAGCTTAGACTTACTTTTCCTTGATAAGACTCAAATAGAAACATTTTTATTTCAATCATCAAGCACAACAGAAAGAAAATTCAGCCAGCTTTCAACAGAATATTATCTCGTGTCTCTTTGTATATTGCTGCTGATACAAGTGCCAAATGAATAATTAATTCTCCAGAATTTCTTTACGAATTTTTTCCGCTCCTGCGAAGAAATTGAAAGCAAAGAATTATGCCGCACTTAAGAATTTAGGCACAAAAATAGAATTTGTATAGAAACACATAGTTTATACAGGTTTGATTGAAGACCAGAGCGTACTTTTTATTAACAATTTTCTTATTTTTTTTCAATAAGCCGAACGAAATTTCTTGCTGGTGCTTGAAATTTCGTTCGCCTTATTAAAAAAAAAACAATAAGAAAATTTTTAATAAAAAGTACGCGCTGTTCGTCAATCAAACCTGTATAAATGAAGAATTTCTGCCTAACTACAGTAAACACTATAGTATACACACATGTAACTAATTTTCTTCTGAAAAGTTCACCTTATTTGACGTTAAATCAAAATCACATATATTCATCTGCATGATTATTTTCTATGGACTCGCATTTTGAGCGTCGGCTGCATGAAATGTCGTGGTCTGTCGTGCACGGTGACGTATTGTCGTGGTCTGCATGGTGCACGGTGACGCATTGTCGTAGTCTGCATGGTGCACGGTGACGCATTGTCGTGGTCTGCATGGTGCACGGTGACGTATTGTCGTGGTCTGCATGGTGCACGGTGACGAGTAGAGCTGCAGTCACGTAGAACTGCAGTCACGTAGAGCTGCAGTCACGTAGAGCTGCAGTCACGTAGAGCTGCAGTCACGTAGAACTGCAGTCACGTAGAGCTGCAGTCACGTAGAACTGCAGTCACGTAGTGACAAAGTCGCGTAGATCATAACTCAATAATCGTTCATATCTATAGTTCACATTGTACATCTATCTATAGTTACATTGTACATCTATCTATAGTTACATTGTGCAGCTCGGCACATTAGGTTGTGCCGAGACGCGATGAAAATCTACTTCATTTCAAGAACTGCCACGTAGCCTCCTTTTCATTGTAATTTCTAAACGAATAGTCGGTCCCGCGTCGATCTCGTGTACTGGCATCATTAAAAACTTTCGGGGAGTGAGGATAATGAACTGACGGTGATTCTGGTGATTATAGTCGCCATGATGATGCACCCTGTTCATTTTACTTCCGCATCGCATGAGCAGTGGAGCTTTGAATTTATTTGAAACTTAAACTCGTCTTTTGACCGCAGGCGAACCGGCCGGCAATCAGTGTTTTCGTGTAGAATAGGCATACCTGAATAGGGTGCACGATACTGCTGGCTAGGAGAACAGGGTACACCTGAATAGGGTGCACCCTAATGCTGGCTAGGAGAACAGGGTACATCTGAATAGGGTGCACCCTACTGCTGGCTAGGAGAACAGGGTACATCTGAATAGGGTGCACCCTACTGCTGGCTAGGAGAACAGGGCACACGCTTCATTAAGAGTTCTTTCCTCTGACATGCCGCGTAATTGGTTGTCGCTCCAAATAAAACTATAAATCAATGGCAGTTACTTGCAGCAATTACTGCCCAAACTTTGTGATTGATTATCAACTTCGTCCGAGCTCCAAATTACTTTTTTTAAATCTTTTCATTAGGGCTGATTTTATCCCTGAATAATTATGGAGAGATAATTGTTCATTAAGTGTAGGAAATTCAAGGGTCAGGCGCATGCATGACGCTAACGCTGGGGTTCCCAAACTTTCTATAATTGCACAGCGCTTACAGTTCTGTCAAATTGTGCCTTCCTATACCGCTGTGTAACACTAATCCTAAAGAATATAATAGGTACTATAATAAAATATAGTAATTTTTGTTCCTTCTGCACCGAGAATGGGCGTCTCTGTAGCTCAAAAGTCTCAAGTTTCCGAGCTTCTTAGCGACAGCACCGACAACTTGATCCGGTGCAGCTGCGACACTAACTTAAGTTGCATGAAGAGAACCTGTCAGTTTTCCCACATCACCCGACGCTTAAAGTTTCAGTGTGTTTGCTAATTTTTTTAAATTAAGAGAAACAAATTCATGTTTAAAAAATCTCATTTTTCACTGTATATTATATTGTTTTATTACAAAATGTTCAGATTTTGGAGGAGGAATTTCTTCCCCTTCAGATTCCACCCTTGGAACAATAATATCATTATCAATATTATTTGTAATAAGGGTAACTGAGGGTAAAGCAAATTAAGTTGTTCGCTAACGAAGAAAATTTTGGGCTGTGACTGGACATTTGTGCAGGGATTTAAAATTTGAGAAATGTCTACACAATTTTATTGAGATTTATGAACGGAGAAGTGACAGAAAAATTGTGCAATTATTGAATTATTGCGCATTGGACAATAACTGATCAATTAAGCAATAAGCAGTTAATGAATTATCGCGAGATGACTGACTAATTCTACGGTGACTGATTCATTGTGCAGTTACTGAGTAACTGAGACATAACTGTACGATTAATATGTGCTAACATTTACGCAGTGACTGAATTATTCAGCAGTTATTTAATAACTAAACATTGCATGAACAATAATTGTGAAGTGACTAATTGTACAGTAATTAAAAAATTGTGCGATGACCGAATAATTGTACAGTAAATGTAAAATGGATGCGCTAAGAGCGCGAACTTCGTTGCACGCGAAATAAGACGAAGTGATTTTTACACCAGTGAAAACTGAGGTAAACAATCTATGCTCCCATCACCAATAAATTCATTTTAAGTTTTGAAGTACATTAAATAATTTAAATAAACTTAATGAATGTAATATTGAATAAACTCATCTATATCATCGATTAGTTGAATACTCTAAGATATTGATATGTTCAATAAAATTCAAAAGTTATATGCATATATCATAATTTATGATGCGACATTCACAATCTTTACACCAGCGTCGCAAGCCGATTGTACAAATACCGTACATTCGGAAAGTCATTTAAATATTACTACTGAAGCTTCATAGGTTCATTTCACAAATGCCACTAACACTTTGAGAGCTAAGTTCACAATGGCTGGTTTTAGAATGAAACAACAACAACATCAAGTGTTGATACACGACAAGTATCAAGTGTTGATACATCAACACGACATTATTGATGGTGTGATACCACATTAGCTTCCGCGATTTATTTCATGAGAAAAAGTTACGGAAGTCGAAAAATCTAGATCAGGTATGTAAAAAATACAATGACTTGTGAAGATTTCTCAAACGCCAAACTAATACCATGGGCAATTTCACGAAAAACCGCAATTTTGTTGATTTATATCATTAATACCATAATGTCTGAATAGATTTTACCAATACATCAACTTTAGGCGTTGATTCAAAAAATTACGGGCTTCACATGCAATCTTTTCCTACATTTATTGTTTAGCTTCACTAATTCCACAATCTTGCTTAATTAATTTCAGTACGGCATTAAGACTTTGGGCCAATTACAGAGATACATACCAGAATAATTTCAAGAGTATTAGCTCCCAAAAACAACACAAAGATTTGAAGTGATGTTTTAACAATTACTATAACAAATTCAAGAGGTAATATCACAACTTCCACAATTGCAGAGGGGTCTTGCTACAAATGCCAAAATGTAGAGCGTAGAGCTGCAGTTAGAGAGCCTATCAATTGCGCTCTACGTCGCAATTGATATCACGAACCCGAAAATGTCAAGGGTTGATTCTTCATTCTTTGATTTCACAAATGGAGGGAATTTTCGCCAGGCTTCATTCTTTGATTTCACAAATGGAGGGAATTTCCGCCAGGCTTCATTATTTCGCCAGGCTTCATTCTTTGATTTCACAAATGGAGGGAATTTTCGCCAGGCTTCATTCTTTGATTTCACAAATGGAGGGAATTTTCGCCAGGCAAGGCATGTCCCTCCACTTGCTGTACGTAGTTTGCATTACGCAGTCCCATGGCCCGGGTGGCCCAAAGATCCAGATGTTGAGGATATGGGGCTCAGAGGAGCCCCAGCTTCCCGATGCCACTTCCCCGTTGAGGAACTTCCATGTTCCGTTACCTACATAGTGTGCTCCTATCCAATTTTCGTTTGAACCTGAGGTAACAAAGCCGGGGTCAAAAATCCGATCAAATCAATTCATTCTAGTTATCAAATTTTTCCTTAATTAACCTAAAATACAAACGAAAAATTTCACTTTATTAGAATGAGCACATTACAAAAACCAGCTCCGTAATGATCATTACAGAATTCTAAGGCAGTGGAATCACTCAAAATACTTAGATAAACACGAAAGATCTTTATCTCAAATCTCACCTTTAGCAGAGAGGTAAGCCTTCATAGCTGCGCTTGAAGGCCCCATGTAGAGGTGCGAGGTAGGCCAGTAGGACCTGCACTTCTGCACTGCGTCAGTCCAGATCAGCTCCTCGAGGTCGAGGTAGATACACCCCAGGCTGCCTTCCATCTTGAAGGGCGGGGGGCAGCAGAAGCTGGCCCCACAGGCCGCGATGGCTGCAGCTGAGTGAATTTATTTGAAGTATGTATTATTGGATATGTAAAACTATTTGTGAGCCTTCCATTATTTTTTGCGAATTTACATTAAAATATGGCGTATAGATGTTATATAAATTTGTCGAATTTTGTATATTGTAAGTCTTGCGTCATGTCTATGCCAACTAAGAATAATATTAAACAATTCATTTGTGTCGACAAAAACTTCAAGAAATACTCAATGACCTTTGCCCTAATTGAAACATTAGTAAATTAATGACTCATATCCGCACGATTTATTTATGTTGTTCAAGATTTCTTGACGTGAAGTAGAAATTAAAACAAGTACCTAAATGCGGCTTTCGCTTGAGTTAAACCCATCATTAAAATCAGCTGAGGGTTCAAATTTATTACTTTAACAATTTCAGGCGACGAATAGGGCTTTGGAGGCGCGCATCCAGCTGGACACTCATGATGCCCTAAATGGCAACTATTATATAGGGGCTCTTGGGGCGCGTATCCAGGATACTTAATTATTACGCCGCAATATATATAGGGGCTCTTAATTATCGGGGCGCGTATCCAGGATACTTAATTATGGCGCCGCAATATATAGGGGGTCTCGGGGCGCGTATCCAGGATACTTATTATGGCGACGCAACATATAGGGGCCCTCTGGGCGCGTATCCAGGATACTTACTGTATATGGCGTAGCAACTTACAGGGGCTCTCGGGGCTCCTGGGCCTGAAAATTAATTCTTAACGGGAGAAAATCAAGACTTAGTAAAATTAGGGCAAAGGATTGGGCAAAAAATTAAAACTAGATTTCTAAATCGGTATTTTAAAATTTAATTACAGAGACTAAAAACAGCTATTTTTATATTGAAACGAGAATCGAATGGGAGTTCTACTTTGCATTTGAAATGTTGGTTTTGTACTGTTATATCTCTTCGTATCATAAATCAACTTCATAAGTATAATTGTGACTCGGGATTACGGAATGACAAGATTCACGAAAATAGGATTCTAAAATTGGATTCTAACAGTTCGAAGCAAAGGAACACCGGACGAACCTGCTAGCATCCGATCCCGGATTTGACAATAAAGTCTTGCATCCACTATGTTTATGATGCCCATGGAAAGAAGAAAATAATTAAAGATACACACATGTATTTATGCTCCGACGCAACTTACCATAGTCGATGAGTGGCGGGGTGCTGGTGTAACACTTGTATCCCTGATACGGACTTCCATCGTCATAGTACGCTGGGTAAACCTTGTTCACAATGTAACAATCGCCGTTCTCGGCGGTACAGAACGTTGTGTACATGTCAATGTTTTTGCGTGCCAAGTTTGCGCAGAAAATTGATCCGACGCCGAGAAGTGTTTCGACCACCGCTCCAGACTGCAACACTTCCGTCATGTTGACGACGATGTGGCGGAACAGTTTTTGACTAATAGACCCGCTAATAACATCGGTAAGAGTAGCACATAGGATGGTGCCGAGTATCCCGCGAAGCTGCATCTTGTTCTATCCTATTAAGAATTATTCTTCAAATCGACTGTCGAAAGCAATTATTTTATTGGCCTCATGAAAAGTTGCGTGATTTCTTCCAGTGCAAACTCCTATCTGGTATCTGTGCAAGTTCTGTTATATACACGAAACGATCCAAATGCTGTGCAAGTCTTGTTATTTACTCTCAGTGGCTTACCAATCACGGCATGTGAGTCTACGAGGTTCTCCTGAGGGCACCTGGTAATGTTATCAACATGGGTTATGCCAATAATACGAGGCATGTTTTTCAAGTAAGGACCGTTTTGAAATAAAAAAAAAACGAGCAAAGTTATCGCCATAATTTTATTTTTACATGAAAGCCTGTGCCTTAATCTACTTTTCTACATAATTTCCATGTATATTGAGGCACTTGTCATAACGTGGCACTAGTTTTTGAAAACCCTCCTGATAAAATTCTGCCGCCTGACTTGGAGGTGAAATTTTGAATTCTGCTGAAAAACGCCTGAAATTCTGCCGCCTGACTCGTCAGAAAGAAGGAATTTCAGGCGTTTGTCAGCAGAATTTCATCTCCATTTCAGCAGAATTAAGAATTTCACCTCCAAGTCAGGGGGCAGAATTTTATCAGGACTTCAGGAGTGTATTCAAAAACTGTTGCCACGTTATGACAAGTGCCTCAATATTCACGGAAATTATGTAGAAAAGTAAATTAAGGTACATGCATTCATGTACAAATAAAATTATTGAAATATCTTTGCATGTCTTTTTTTAATTCCAAAATGGTCCTTACTTAAAATACATGCCTCGTATTTTCGCCAAGTATTACGTATATCAGCCTGCATGCAGGATTACGTAACTCAACTTACGTGAAACTTTTAAGTCTGTGAAACGATTGAAAATACTAGTTCACGAAAATTGCATTAAATTGTGAATAATTTCAACCTCTCATTTCCACATATTGCGTGGCCGTGTTGTAAATAGAATGAATACTTGCATTCATACCAGCTGTTGAATTCCTGGTTCTCAAATGCACTTCTATTGTATATTTCGTACGCCTGATGCATGCGTACCACCGACATTTTACTTTAGTTCGATTTTAAAAGCATCTATAGTGTCAGTTGCGGTGTTGGCTCTAGACTGTAAAGAAGGAAATGTTTGTTACGTGTATTTTAATTCTGAATATCCGTGTAACGTGTATATTTGACCTTTATCGTGTTATATGTTCGAAATAAATTATCTTACTTCTTGATCATACCTTATTTGCAATACTAATTTCATGTCCCCATTTTTACCTTTGTATATTGTTTGTTTACAGAAACCGATTTATAAAGACAACTGAACGAAAAATCGTGTATTCAAATCCTTCGCCAAACGAATATACGTAACACCAGCCATTAACAGTTTTTTAATTAATAAGAAACGAGGAGCAAATAACCACTCTCAAATGCTCAAGTTCCAATGATTTTCTACTATTTCAAGGTTTCATTACAATTTAAAAGTACAGATGTAATGGCATAAGAAAAGCCAGCCGTTAATTCTGATTTACTTCTCCCCTACTTTCAACACGCTGCTCACGGCAATAGATCTGTTAGGCCTGTTGCTCTTATGATTTTCTACTATTACAAGATTTCATTACAATTTGAAAGTACAGATGTAATGGTATACGAAAAGCCAACCGTTAATTCTGATTTACTTCTCCCCTACTTTCAACACTCTGCTCTCGCAATAGATTTTAGGCCTGTTGCTCTTGGCACTTTGGAAAGCGAGACCCAAAAACAGAACGCCCCTCTCCGCCACTATCGCTGACAAATGACTGCGCGCCTCAAAGCAGCTCTGACGTGGAGGTAACGAACCAAAACAACACGTAACCAAGGAAATTATTCAATGGCGACCAATGGAAGCATTCACCCAGAGCTAGCAGGCAGTGTCAAGGGCAACTTAACCCACTGCAGCAAGAAAACATCGTTAATTGAACAAATTCTTATCCATTTCTGGCTTCTGGTGTACGACGACAGTGCGAAATCGGGCGTGAAATTTTATCAGCATGAAATCCACGTGTGATGATGACCTCTAGAGATTGCCTCGGTGAGCCAACATCGAGTTTGTCCTTTCGAGTTCCATTGAACACTACGTGTCAACAGCTTCACGGGTCAACAGCTCCACGTGTCAACAGCTCCACGTGGCAGCTGCTCCGCGTGTCAACAGCTCCACGTGTCAACAGCCCCACGTGGCAGCAGATCGCGTGGCAGCGTGAACAAAAGTTTAATCAGTGACCTAGCTCCATTCAATTTAATTGCTGGCTTCCTGCCAGTTCATTTTGAAGAATCAGAGTTGATGGCGATGATTCAAACCTCACAAATCGTAACTTAAAACGATTGTTGCATTTAACTTGGAAATTCAATCAGAAAGTTTGAGAACTTGTCACGCGATGTCTGGTTTGCCACCACAGGCTCTTCTGTGGCCATCACAGTTCCACACATGAAAATTAACACAGCAAGTGTCATGAGCTTGCGGCAGTAGAGTAATTTCAGTCACCGTCATTATTATGTAGAAAATTTTAATAGGTTCATAGACCGTGTCACAGTATTAATGCCCAGGCTTTTGTCCATAACTACCACACCATGTGATCATATTAATTGACCGTCTCCTCCAATAATTCACACACCGCACAACAAGAGGACCCAAAACTACTAGAAACTAGGCAGTTTTTCTTCCTCATCTAGAACTTGTGGTCGTAGATTCCGGTAATTTTGCTCTATTTTATAATATGACGGGACTTGCAAGTTTTTCATACAGCATTTTTTCCTCGTGAACATAAAATTTCCACCCTATAGAATGGACGGGAACTTTAGAGCGTCGGCCATATTCATTCTGTGACTAGTAACTTCCCTATTATTGATAAATAATTTGTTACGTAATAACTTGCTTACCCTAATTGCATGGTTTATCTTATAATCTTCTATTCTATTTACTGCCGGATAACCATACCCATCTTCACACTCAAAGGTAATTATTTGTTTTCCGAAACCGTTACAAATACTGAATGAGATTTCACACTGAACTTGCACGACCAAAGAGCCTTAATTAATAATCCTTGATATTATTGCAATAAATTTGAATTGTAATTCATCCGAATTTTTTTAGCGACAAGGGCAATTGAGTGAGAAAATTCCCTCTTTTACAGGTTGATTTGACTAAAATTTGTTGAGCAGCTATTGTGTCTGAATTTCTTATCGTGGTTACATTAGAAGACCATAAGTGCGTCTGGGAGTGCAGCTGTTTGCCACATTATAATAATAGCTGTGTTAGCGTTACAGATTATTCCGTTAGGCGTGTCGCCGCTTAGGAGCAGGTCGCAAAATTTTGAAAGCTTGTTGCAGGTCTTTGACACGCAACTCGATGCTCCAATATCCACTGAGCTTAGCCGCCAGGCCGGCCACCTTGCCGATTTAGACCATGAACTGTCGCAATTAAGAAGCTGGTATAGAACCCGCAACTCCACTGCTCCAATTTCTGTTAGTTTGACCTGTAACCATAGGGCTACCCGATTGGATTCTGAATTCACAATTTTCAAATCTCAGTGATTCAAAATAAGTATTTTGAAAAGTTATTCATAATGAATATTAAAAATTGAAAAATACCTTCGGTACATGGATATTTACTTTAAAATTGCCGATCCTTGAGTCGATATTTTACTCTGAATTAGTTGTGATTAACAAAAAATGTTATGATCAATTGTTATCTAACTTAGCTTCTCTCTAAATAATCTCTTTCAAATGCCGCAACCTACATCCATTTACTTTGAAATAATCTTCATATTTTGAGAAAGAATATCCATCGAAAGATAATTATTTTCTTAATGGTCATGAAACATTTGAACATAACATGGCGAAGTTTCTAAAAATATTATTAAACTATGTTGCAAAAGATGTGTCGTTGCATGTCGGCTGAAAGAGCAATATGTTTTAATATTTAATGATGTATATTTAGGAATTAATGATGATCAAGACTTCGACTTCATAATGTGTTCGAAAACTTGATACTTTGAAATAAATGAAGTTACTCCAATTGAATTACGCTGTAAATTATTGTCTCATTCAATATCTAATAATGAGAAGATGACCCAAAATTACTTCTGAAGCAATCGTCTATGTTAAAATCCAGAATAAATTTCGTTCATTTATTAACAAAAATTAATTTTTTGATTCGGTAATACTGAGTTGGGGTGTTGGACTAAATTGCGAAAAAGACGCCATGGAACGGGAAACTTTTTTCCAGTATCAGCCCAAAAACTTTTCAAATTCAGACTCCTAGAGAACTTAATAGCAAAATTAGGTGACTAATGGCGAGATAAATCCACAATAGACAGTTTACCTGTTAATTTTCATACTGCATAATAGAAAACCAATTGAAATAGTATTGATGGCTCATTGTTGCAATCAATTAAATCGCTCTGGACACTAAGAACAGATACGACATGCATGAGCGATGGTTGCTCTTTGTCGTTTATGCGGCGCTGTTTCCCAGCAGAGCTTCGTGGTGAACTGGGCTGGGCATTAACAAAAAATTGTCTGTCGCATTACACCAGAAATTAGCAGGTATACATACATACATTAACCTGCGCTGGCTAACTAAATTGAATGGGTCACATTCCCTTCATATAACTAAAATTGGTGGGGTCACATTCTCTTCAAACTAACTAAAATTGGTGGGTCACATTTCCTACAAACTATCTAAAATTGGTGGATCACATTGCCTCCAACTAACTTAAATTGGGGGAGCACATTCCCTCCAACTAACTTAAATTGGTGGATCACATTCCGTCCAACTAACTTAAATTGGTGGATCACATTCCCACCAACTAACTTAAATTGGTGGATCACATTCCCTCCAACTAACTTAAATTGGTGGATCACATTCCGTCCAACTAACTTAAATTGGTGGATCACATTCCCACCAACTAACTTAAATTGGTGGATCACATTCCCTCCAACTAACTTAAATTGGTGGATCACATTCCCTCCAACTAACTTAAATTGGTGGATCACATTTCTTCCCTCCTGACTCGTAAAATTGTGTGAGTCAAATTTCTCTTTCATCACAAGCGCACCAAGTTCCATCGAACTAGTATGAGCTTCGTCCGTCAATCGTATAATAGGTGCGCAATTTTTTATTTGTTGTATAACATTATGCTTATCATGATCATAATTGTAATATTAATTGGGATCTCACTACATTAATATTATAGAAATTATTTGTCGCACCATGCCCTGATAATAACGCAATACAATAAATAACATCACTATCATGTCATATCAATAACATCACTAATGTTATTTCATCAATCAGTAAGCAAAAACATTTTTCACTGCTTTCAATGCCTAAAGCTTTGGCTTATCATAAAATATTACACATAACATAATATTAACGCCTATCGTTATCATTCCTGACAATGTTAGGAAATTGGTAGAACAAATGTTAGAAGTATTTCGGTCGATGAGTATCGTTCGGATGAATTTGAGTATCGGTTGCCATGAAAGTAACGAAATATGCCATCATATAAAAATTTTCTATCTGATATTTCGCAAACATGTTTTCTAGCAGTAACTAAACTAAAATTTTTAATCCAGTCACAACGCATGGTATGAGTAAATGAAATGAAATAAATATTCCATTTTCTTCATTCAATAACTATGAGCGAAGTGAAAACTGGGGAAAAATATCGAATACATCACCATATCCGAAGTTACTGCGCAAATTTATCGATATCGTGTCATTTTTACCCTGAATTCATGTCCAACTTGAGAATATGATGTTGTATCTTGTTTGTATTGTTCATGTGATTTATGACGAAGTAATATATCAATAAAGATCATACTATTTTCATCCATTTAATTTAAAAAATATCAGTTAAAGGTTTGTTATAAATTAATTTACGAACATAATCCACTACGGTAGGAAGATGATTCACTGCGACGATCTGGGCCTCTGCGCGCTTCATCTCCCGTTATTATGAGGCGCTGCTGGCAGGAGCGGTGCTGTTGTTGCGTGCGCCGGCGAGGATACACCAAGCAAGATGTGTGTATGTATGTCGTCGTCTATTAATTAATTAATTTATTGTGTGTGGTGTGCGTGCCTGCCTGCTGTTTATTATGATGATGATGTTGTTTGTATTATGTATGTTGATAACGTTTTAATGTAATTTCGTGCTCTGTGCAATCTTATCAGCTATGGACATCGCGCCTTATTGGCTTACAAAATGACTTTTCCGAGTATTTCGTAAGTATTTGAGGCAACGGAACTGCTGTACGTCCGTCCATGCACTGTACAATAAAACCTTGACTTACGAATTTAATTCGTTCCAGGACTGGGTGCGTACGATTAAATATTAGTTTGTCGAAACAATATCGGTATTTGATGTGTAATAAAATATAGCACCGAATCGGTTCGTGAGCACCGAATCGGTTCTGAAATTCGGTTTGCAAGCATACATGTTCGTATGTGGAGGGAAAAAAAATCTAGAACCTCCGATTGGTATCTGGAAGAATTCGCCTGTCGAGGTATCAAGGTTGACAAAGGTTGAAATGAAATACACAACTGCATGATGTACGGTATCTTAAAACAGCACGACTGCCGTGATGCACTGTATCTGAAATTATCTTATCTTATCTTAAGTTATATACGAGTATGAGAGTAATAATTTGATCGAAATTTAAATATTTGTCTATTTCAACTGCAAAATTGTGCAGCAACAATCATCACCACCTGCATTGCAGCGTGATCATCACCCCCTGCGTTGCAGGGTGACCATCACCCCCTACGTTGCAGCGTGATCATCACCCCCTGCGTTGCAGGGTGACCATCATCCCCTGCGTTGCAGGATGACCATCACCCCCTGCGTCGCAGGGTGACCATCACCCCCTGCGTTGCAGGGTGACCATCACCCCCTGCATTGCAGGGTGACTATCACCCCCTGCGTTGCAGGGTGATCATCACCCCCTGCGTTGCAGGGTGATCATCACGCCCTGCGTTGCAGGGTGACCATCACCCCCTGCGTTGCAGGGTGATCATCACCCCCTGCGTTGCAGGGTGATCATCACCCCCTGCGTTGCAGGGTGATCATCACCCCGTGTTCAGGACGTAGCGTCATTTCTTTCCTAAGGCAGAGTTGTTCGACGGTTTGCCTGCACGTCACTTCAAAGGTACGCAACAAGTGCGCCAGCACGACCTTCATCTCCATCATGCCGAACTTCTGGCCTGTAAAAAAATAGTTAATATTACATATCAGAACAATAATATTGTGTTACAGAGCGCCAACATGACCATCAGCTCCATTATTCCGAACCTCTGGCCTGCGCCAACCAGAATAAAGCAATAAAGTAATAATAAATACATAAATGTAAATCTTCATGTATTGTTGGTGAATAATTTTAAAATCAGATATTTTTTTCAGGAGTAAAGATACATTCCCGGTTCCTATGCGATCGTCCTTATATGGACGATCTTATAGGGTTAGTTATATGGACGATCGAGGACGCTATATGCGATCGTCCCTAGCGTCTTCGGCATCAATATAGTTGTGCGCTATGCGCATCTGCGTATGTCGGTATGACATCTCGCAACTTTTACACTAGGCTGGCGGAGCATAAAGGAAGGAGTTTTAGAACAGGAAACCTGCTTGCGCAACCCTCTCATTCAGCAGTACACGTTCATGCCGAGCAGTGCAACGTGCTATTGTGCAAAGAGCTGTGCAACGTGCGAATTTTATAAACCCCTTTATGTTTTTAAACAAAAGCCTAGTTTAAATGCCGCCAACAGTTTATATCCTCTCGAAATTGTAAAAAATAGGTTTGTCTGCCCTTCATTCATATTTGTTTTTCATTTGACGATTCATGCTTCAATGTGAATTTATTGCTAATTGTTTGTACCTGTGTTTTAGGTTTCGAACGGATGATGGAGCTGGTCTCCGAAACGGTTTCCTTATTAAGAAATGGTGAATTTTCTGGCGATTTTTTTCCAAATTTTTGATAAATATGCGATTTAAGCAGTCAAGTGATTTTGAAGTTAATGCTGAATTGCATAGCAAAAACAAATCAGGTGTAAACTCGAGTGATCCCCATTCGATCAAGTATGTCGAAACTACTTAGATTGATTCAATAAGGGGCAATAACTTCTTCGATTTTTCATAAATGATCAGTTACCTAAATTGTTAATTCTCATAAAATCACTAATAGTTCTTAAAAGAAAAGTTTATGCCTGAGTTAATAGGACCAATGTTACTAAACTTATACATGAAGATAAATAGAGCGCCGCTCTAAATCTACTTCATTGATCCAGAGCCTCAAAAGCGGACACTTCGCCGACGTCGCGGCGATGACAAGCGGGAGCGTCGTCCGTCGTCTCCAACTCTATATGTAGAGCGTCAGTGAAACGTGAAAAAGATTGTTCAATCCCCTTGAAAAGGATTTTCGAACGGATGATGGAGCTGGTCTCCGAAACGGTTTCCTTATTAAGAAATGGCGACTTTTTTGGCGATTTTTTTCAAAATTTTTGATAAATATGCGGTTGAGCCGTTTCACAAGACAGACGTGCGTGCTGCGCGGGCTCACAGCTTGCCTTTTCACTATGTGGTTGAACTGTATTAACGCATTTTGTATTTAAACGTCTCACTAAAAGGACTTGAAGTGAAGTCAGTGAAAGAGAATGCAAACAGAGAGTGGAAGTAAATAGCGGTTCCGTTTTTACATGCTAAAAAACGAGGGTAAATCTAGTGAGTGATGGCACCTTGTGTCGAAGATATGCGAAGTGCCCTCTGTTAAGCCTACTCTCTCGAACCGAGCTCCGTCAACTTCACCCTTGCCCCTCCGTCTGCCTCTATACGCTGCCCGCCGTCTAGGGACTCTTATCCTGCCCCTCGCCCTTTCTACCCCTCTGCCGCGAGCCCTTCATTCCCTCAGCCAACCCCTTCCCCTCGCTCAGCTGTTCAGCTGAGTCCCCTTGCTCAGCTCGAATCGTAATTTTTGACGGAACTTTAACTCTATTCAAAGTCAATTCAGTTTCAAAATTGTGTGTTTTCCGTGCATTGTATTTTTAATTTTCAATTCTGTTTTAAATAGAATTTTAACTTCAACTCTACTCAAGTCAATTCAGTTTTTACACTTGTGTTTTCCTCCGTGCTTTGTACGATGGCTGGACAGATTAAAAAAGGTAGTTGAAAAGCCCTCTAGTTCTGCTAGACAAAAGGCTAAAATCAAATCAGCTAAGTCAGAGATGAAAGTTTGCAAACACTGAAAAGAAATCTCTGTGAGCGAGGCAGATCAGACTGTCATGTGTGAACGCTGCGAAGATTTCATTTGCATCAGCTGTTCGAAGTTGTGCTCAGACGAATACTTGTTTTGTTTCTCCAGAAACAAAACAAGGTCAGGTTTACTTCATTGGTTTAGTCGTGACTGCGAAGAACCAACTATTGGTATTCGAAAAAGCTAAAAACCGGTGGAAGAGCAAGGCAATGAGACGAAATCGTTGAATGATGTTGTAAACGCCTTGAGTGAGATGGTGCGCTCGCTGAGTGAAAAAGTTAGCTCGCTTTGCAATGAGCTGACTGAAGTGAAGGCTCAGCTGAAAAATACTGAAAATTTTGAGGTCAAGTCTCAGAGAGTTGATTTATCCGAAGTTGCTATTGAAAGCTCACGCGAGTTACTGGACAGAGAACATAGAAAGTCCAACTTGGTTTGGTTTGGAGTTCCCGAGAGTTCTGCATCTGATACGAAGGACCGAGTGATGGCCGATACGAAATTTATTGAGGAATGATGTAGCACGGCACTCAGCTCACCGATTGATATTAAATCGTGCACGAGGCTACACTCGAAGGACGCTGCTGCCAAATCATGCAGGCCTTTGTTGGTGACTGAAAAGGATCCTGCACAGGTTGGAAGCGTGCTGAAGGCAGCGAGAAAGCTTGGAGAATCTCTTGAGTACAACTCCGTTTTTGTAAAGAAAGATTTCACCCCTTTAGAGAAAGAAGATTTTCGCAGGAAATGGCAGGAGAGAATCAGGCGGAAAGGCACGGAAAATCAGGTCAACCACTCTCGCAATGTCAAGACATGGACGGGCGACTACGGCTTTCGTTTCTTTTTGAATAAATTCAAATGAGAATCTAGAGTATGTCGTTTACCTGTCCTCGCCATGAACTTATTTTCATCACGAGAATAGCATCATATCGTTAATAATTTCAACCTCTCATTTCCTCATATTGCGTGGCCGTGTTGTAAATGGAACGAATAGTTGCATTCATATCAGCCATTAACAGCTTTTTAATTTGAATAAGAAATAAGGAGCAAATAACCACTCGCAAATGCTAAAGTTCCAATGATTTTCTACTTTTTCAAGATTTCATTACAATTTAAAAGTACAGATGAAATGGTATAAGAAAAGCCAACCGTTAATTCTGATTTACTTCTCCCCTACTTTGAACACGCCGCTCTCGCAATAGATTTTAGGCCTGTTGCTCCTGGCACTTTGGAAAGCGAGACCCAAAAACAGAACGCCCCTCTCTGCCGCTATCGCTGACAAATGACTGCGCGCCTCAAAGCAGCTCTGACGTGGAGGTAACGAACCAAAACAACACGTAACCAAGGAAATTATTCAATGGCGACCAATGGAAGCATTCACCCAGAGCTAGCAGGCAGTGTCAAGGGCAACCAAACCCATGCACTGCAGCAAGAAAACATCGTTAATTGAACAAATTCTCATCCATTTCTGGCTTCTGATGTACGACGACAGTAGGAAATCGGGCGTGAAATTTCATCAGCAACAGCTCCACGTGTCAACAGCTTTACGTGTCAACAGCTCCACGTGTCAACAGCTACACGTGTCAACAGCTCCACGTGTCAACAGCTCCACGTGTCAACACCATATCGAACCCGGTGGAAGTCGAGTAGCTATTTCAAACTTTCGTCAGTCATGAAAAAATCCGGTCAAATGACACGATTTTGATCTTCTGTGAACAAGGCACGAAAAGGAAAAGAATCGGCGACAGGCCACATCAGGCCTACACTGCAGCGCCGAGATCACTATGTTATGACATACCAATGCAGTTGCGGGGCCCGGCGCTGAAAGGAATGAAGGAGAACGGGTGCCTCTTAGCTGCCTCAGCCCCCAGGAAACGGTCGGGGTTGAACTCCTCGGGGTTGGGGAATTGTTCGGGGTCGCGGTGGATGCTGTATATCATGATGATGAAGTTTGTTCCTTCTGGCAGCTGGTAACCATCTGGGTTAAATGAACAGGTCGAAAAAATTAACATACTTGTAAGTGCGAGTTATACATTTGATAATGTGGGTTACTTAAGTACCGTAAGGATTACGAGAGCAGAGTGATTCTATAATGAATAAACTCACCATCGTATACCATGGTGAATGCGTAATTTTATTCCAATATTATTGTTGGTAGGTTTGAGTTCATTGGCTGATACTCTCAAATGCTTCAGAAATTAAATAACAAGTTCCGGTATCATGACGTCATTGATTCACATGCGCAATTGAATACATTACGACGAACAAAGTTTCGCTCGATACATCAGTTCCTATCATAACCCTGGTCGCATTGAATTGCAACAATTTTACAATTGTACCTCAACTTGATACGATCATAACGCTGTAATATAATGCAGTAGAACAAGGGTTAATTTGTTTACCTCGATACTTGTTTACCTCGATACCCATCTCACCGATCACGGCTGGTTGGTGGAGTCTGCGACCCAAGACTGGAAAAGGCGGGAAGAGCCTGAGGGCCTCTTTGATGCACGCCTCCAGGAGCTTCATGCCTCGCAGGGCAGCAGAAGTGATGGTCACGTCACCCTCCCCGAGAACTTCATGCAGCTCCTGCACTACGCGCGTCTGAAAAAAGGAGTAAATCGGGAATTATAACTTTTTATTTCTCCCATTTCACTTGTTAATTAAATGACGACTTGATTTTAAAGTTTTTAGACAAAGAACATATTATTTTGGTTTACCCTGAGTATTTGCGTAAGAGCCATCTAAGCAATGGCAACTAGGGAAGGAGGGAGCGGTTTTAGGTCAGCTTTTCTGGGCACTAACCAATCGAAATACAGATTCCATTTACTGGTGTAGAGGCTCGCCATAGTTGCCCTAGAGGAAAATCAGACGCAAATCGGCCGCCTGCTGTATTCGTCTAGTAACAAGGAGCCATTTTCGGGAGTCACTTGCCTGAGGGGCGAATCTGCATATAGACACCACATATAAGCGGCTGATCAGGTCGCTCCATGCTCATCCTTCTCAGTAGCTTGCATGAGTTCTTATAGCGCAAGCGTGACTAGCCCCTGATTCAGAAACACTACAGCTGCATGTGCATGCATACGAACTTATATAGTCATGCGTGTTAAACAATCGTGCGTTAAGGGTACGTCAACTTGCGTGCGTTTCGTTATCTTCATTATGCTTGAATTGAGTGATTGCTTTTTTGCTCATGTAAACCTCTTCGACAGTTTTGGGACGGAATTTTAGGACGATATTTTTGGATCAAGCCAGCGTTTCCGGGAGCTTCATAACACGTGCAACGCGCGTTCGTCAACACGCGACCATTGCCAGTGTTTGACTAAATTCGCGTGCACTGCGCTATCTTCACACATTTACGCAACGTTTGTATTAGCATGCTTGTTATATATGTACGTCAACGCGAGACCATTTCTTAGCCAATTGCATTAGGGTGCCGAGCCAATGAATTTGTCCTATGTTTTTTCTAATCCACGCTTTGGAACATTAGTATACAAAAGGCAATACTGGAATGCCTCCTTGATCCTCTCCCTCAATCATAGGGGAGGGGGAGGAGAGTGCGTTTTATTAACCCGCTTTCTGACTCAGCCGTGACTCTCCTGCATGGAAAGTAGTAGGTGCCACATGCGCGTGCACTTCGGTTACCGTACGACCGCCAGGGAATTAATTTTTCGTTGTAAAAAAACAAAGTGATAAGCGGATATACAGCCTCTAATTTACGCGCTTGTCGACCGTCCGACGTCCCTGCGCCAGGTACGGATATAGGACCGAAATTTCGGTATAGGGTAAGGACACTAATAGTTCTACGAAAATATCTGGCAGCCTTCAGACCCGCCTAAAATATATCTGCATTGTTTTGCATTACACAACATCCTGAATGAACTAGGTACTCATTTATTAACCAGAATTGGATGAATGGTTGAGTTGCCATGAGCTGAGCTTCCCGAAGCAGCTTGTCCTGAGAGTGACTCGAACCCCGGGTCGCTCGGTGACCGTATCTCTAAACACTGCACCGCGAATCTCTAGAGGCTTGCCTGAATTTGTGGATGACAGCCGAAGAGGAAGAGGGCGAACCCGATCGTAGTTGCCACGGATTCGTGTCCTGCAAACATGAACGTGTCGACCTCCGCCCTTATGTCTTCTTCAGACAGCGGCCTGTCGGGATGTTCGGACGCTTCCAGCAACATGTCCAGGAAAGCAAGACGTTTCTTGCCACCTGAGGCACGCAGTACAGGTTTTTTAAGACATCTGGCACTCACATAAATAGTGACATACTAAACACAATCATTTGTTTGGTAATCGAAATAATCTTATCTGGTGATTACCACAGCCTTGCCGTTAGACATTGAGCTTGCCGACGATTTAGATGACTGGTAACCGATGGAACTCACATTCAAATAGCCAAAGCAACGCAAATATAACTTGTCACCTGCGTTAACAGGCAGTACGGGTACAAGCTGTCCATGTAGGTATCATTAATTCTGCCAAGCATCAAAGGTATATCCCGTTCAAATTCGAGTTAATCTGAGAATTTTGAAAAATATTCAATAATAATGCCGTTAATAATTACAGATTATGATCTCATGTATGATTATTTGGATTAACATTTGTCAAAAATATAGTAATTTTAAAGACGGAATGTTTTCTATGAGTCCGGAAATGAGTTTGAAGACGGAAGATTTTCTACTGACCGTCCGTTTGGATCTCCTTGTTTGAGTCTTTTTCGGCCTTGAGTTTGTTGCAGGCGGTTCGTCTTGTTTTGATGGCACCCAGAGACATGGCGTGAAGCGTGCTGAGATACTGACTGTGTTTCTTCGCAAGTCCCGACAGCTTGAACCCGATGTCGCTGTGCAGCCACGGGGAGTAGTGGCGCTTCGTGATAATGTCACTGATTCTGAATGAAATAAAAAAAAATTGGTACACAGAATACTAATGTTCTATTTAAACCTAGCTGAAGAGCATCAGGTTAAAAGACGACAATATCATTGGAAATTCAAAGTAATCATTGGAAATACGAAGTGAATTTTTATATTAAAATCATTACTAGTTTAGCTAAACCATTCACTGCTAATTTCGTTAATAGGAAGAGAGTAAGTGCTCTAAAATACCATGATCTAAATTCCGTACATTCTTTTTCCCTCCGCAATAGAGAAAAAATTTAAATACTCGTCACAGTGGAAATTAAGAAAAGCTTTGGGTAAGAGAAAGGAAAGCGGGCGAACAAACAATTGCAAGCAAATTATATGATATAACGCCGTCAATAACCATAGATTTTTGTTGAGTATTTACAGGATTCCAAAATCCTAAAGTTAGAAATACCGTATGTGTATGCTTAAAAACTTTAAAATATTTGCCGGTCAAAACTTACAAGGTACGACGTCGCTCCGGTGTGTGCGGGACGATAGCTAGTACGATAAATCCTGACCTCATACCAAAAATGGTCATACTGTCGCGACATGACATCACGCCAGAAATTTTCATGTCATTTCATTTTTAGCACATTTTCTCATTTATGGAAAAAATGCACTATTGTGCTCGCCATGTCCGTCTGTCTGTCTGTCCGTCCATCCGTGACCTCAAGTTTTCGTCGACGAGAAAATGCGCTCTGTCACTCACTACAGTGAGTACTGAGTTATATTTTTTATTGAATATTAACAATGAACCATGAACAGCAAATTACCAAAAAATCTTTACCCATGAACAGCCTTAACATAGTCGCATTCTTCGTCGTTCTGGGCGTTGATATCGACTCCCATGGCCGTCTCTATAAGAGAGAATGTTTAATTTTAATACATGATTTCGACCAACCAATGAGGTAGCAACCATTAAGGGAATTTATGTATGTAGCGGGGCAATAATTTAAACAACTCAGCGAAAAGAATTTTAACAACTGTTTGTAAAGTAAGACTTCGTAACATAACATAGCGATATCGGCGCTGAAGTGTAGGCCTGATGTGGCCTGTCGCCGATTCTTACTACAGACCATTGATCTTTTTTCCTCTTTCTAAAAAGTTTTTTTTAATATTTCTACAAATTCACGGGACTGGTAGTCCCTCGTGCTGCTCACCCATGATGATGTCCAACGAGCAGAGCTCCACCGAGGGACACACGTTGAAGGGAGCGTCACCCACTCTGCTCTGGAGTTTGTCGACGAGACGCAAGGCTTGGTGGTTGAAAACCTCCACGAAATCTTCCAATATTTTGAAATGGAACGAGGGAGTTAGCAGGCGGCGATTGGATTTCCATTTTTGACCTGAAATTGGAGATGAAAATGTTATATCAACACTGAAAGATATGTAAACTCATCTCAGAAAAATAAGAAGTTGATGCTCGAACGTTAAAATTGATTGGTCATAATAAGTTCCCTTGTCTAGCCCGGAAATGATTAAATTTAAAACCATTCACCAGTGAATAACGAACGATAGTTCATTCAACACGGAAGGAATACTCGGAAAAATGCGCCCATTTTTTCGAAACTCTGCATAATTTTTTCCTCGTTGTCTTCATGTGGGTCATGACTCAATGTGAGTCATGCCTCAATGTGCATCATACAGACCAAATTTTTGTAAAGTAAAAGTACTAGTGATAATGACGCTTTTGGAAGGGGACAGTAGTGGCGGCCAGTAAAACTTTAAAATACTCACCGCCACTTTTCACTGCACTATTGGCCTAGTGTATAGGCACTTCTGGAGACGGAAGAACCCAGAAAGCCTTTGCATGAGGCTAGTTGCATGATGTTTAAACTAGTGGCGGTTAGTATTTGAAAGTTGTACTGGCCGCCAATAGTTGCCGCATGAACAAGTAACTTTAAAAATGTACATTATTTTTTATACGTGAACGGTACTGGCAAGGAGATGGCGTTCATTGCCCATCGTAATAATTTCCCGAGAATAATAATTTTAATAGGCGTAGTCGCAAATTTTACAGCATTTTATAAAAATTAGAACACTGCATAATTAATCAAATAGAGTGCATAAGACGCATTTATATTACTAAAGGTTTGTTAAAATTACATTTAATTGTTAGCTACCAGTAGAGGTGAGCAGACTGATGCCAAGCCAGGGTCGTAGGAAGTCATAGGCGCGGCTCTTCTCAATCCAGACGCTGCTGGTCAACAGACCCTGGGAGGACAATTTCTTTAATAATTTGTCTCTCATTTGTGATGTACGAAGTGTTGATTGATTCCAATTGTGATCCAAGAAACAGTCTTTAGACACATGGCCATGGCAAAACATCAATGGGGGTATAATGATTATCAAATAGATTACTTTAGAGCAGAACTATAACATTCTGCATTTGTTCACTAAAACACAAATACGCAGAAAACACCATGTATTTATACAGCTGTTAATGTTTTGAATTGCAAGGTAACACAGATGACTTCAACATTGGGAATATTAGAAAATAAGTCATTTTTTGAAGTAAACATTTCATTTATTTGTAACATGTACTGCTTTTTGTCGGTTCCTTGCCCTAGTTCCCTTGTAACAGGGAGCACATGCCTATAAGCCTCGGCACTATCCGTGTTTAAGTGCGCCTTAAGAGAAGACAAACATTGATTTCTTCCCCAACTGTATCGAGATATTACCACTGCGTTCACAAGTGAAGCTTCAGCAGCATTGCCATCTGACAAGTATTCCAACGTACCGTCCTAATAATTACGACAGAACCGAGATCGAATTCTAGAGCTGAACAAAGAAATCATTCCTCACGACTTATAGCAATAAAAGAGTTATACTTTATAGATTAGAAGTATCGGCACTGAAGAAATAGGCCCATGGCCTGTTGCCGATTCTTGTACTTTTCGTGACTTGATTCACAAGGGATCCGGCCTTTTGAACCCGATCTTTCCATAGCTGACGATTGATTGAGTTAGCAGCTGGACTTATTGCCTGGTCCGTAATTTGCTAGGCATTTTAAGACTGAACATATGCTCCTGCATAGCTTCGTCTAGTCTGTTCTTGAAGGCGTTCATACTCGGAGCGTCCACGATGCTATCAGGGAGGCTGTTCCACATGTTGGTGATTCAAAGCGAGAAGAAATGTTGTCGCATAGTTGTGTTACAACGAATATTCGATAAAGTAGAATCGAATGAATGGAATGAACACCGAACAGCCCTCCCAACATCGATGCAGTGAAAAGTACAGCTTCTACCAATCACGAAATTCAATCTTGGTGCACATCCACTGAAATATGGTAGCTAGGAGAAAGATATATTCCTTGGGGTTACGGTTATCAGTAATTTATGTGTAAATGTTTCTAACTTGGCAGACTGTTTTACAAAGTTCCGCTGACAATTTTACTCATGATTATACCGCTCATTTGTAATACCAGAAGTCGAAGAATAAACAAAGAAAGGCTGAACGAATGCAAAACACTGACATTGTCCACACGAAACATACGGAGCCCTCTGAACACCTTCTACAAAAGTACACTATCCAAACTACACGCGGAACCCTATAAACATTTTACACATAAGTACATACTGTCCCCACACATTGACCTCACACATTGACCCCACACATTGTCCCCACACATTGTCCCCACACGCTGTCCCCACACATTGTCCCCACACATTGACCCCACACATTGTCCCCACACATTGTCCCCACACAT